TGTGGAAGGAGATGCCGGGACCGTCTAATCCCGCTCTCTTTAAGGCTGGACTTTCTGGACCGGAGCAGCTGGCAGCAGCGAGCTCCGCTTTTGAGAGCCTGAGAGGGAGAGGCTTCCCCCCCCCCCAATTCACAATTAATCCGACCCCACCTTCCCCAAGAGCAAATAAAAATTCCTGGAATTGCACAGCTTACCACCATGAAGAGGTGACTGGTGGGGTCGCCCAGATCAAGACCAAAGGAAGAGACCACCAGATCCCAGGCAGAAAGTTCATGTTAGAAACGCTTCGGTCCACATCAGGTCAGTCGCGGGGGGCAGAAGAAATCCCATGGAGCAACAATTCCGAGCAGGGGCAAACGCACCTCGAAGGCTAGTTCTTTCCCGTGGGTCAAGAGCCTTCGCATCCCCACCCGCGGCCCCTGGCCTTACTGATCCCCGCCCGGGGTACGGGAGATGCCGGTCCGTGCATCGCTCTGGATTCCTCTCGGTTCGCCCTGCACCAAATCCTTCAGGACATGGAGTTCAGCCCCGCTCTCATCCTTCATCTTTGCCCCGATCCAGCTCTTCCCTGCAGTCACGGCAAAACTGAGGGGCTGGTGTGGGCTGCTCTCGGACTGGGTGGGTTCTGCTTTGGTTGGTGTTTTTTTTTCCTCTGAAAGTCTGATGGATGAAATGATGTCAAGAGACACTGGGGGAAGAGGAGGAGGTAACACCTCTGATTAGGCAAGGAATCCCGAGGAGCCAGTTGCTTTCCAATAACATTAAGAGCAGACAGTGAGTTCAAACCCGTCAGCAGATGCTACACGACCTGCTGCGGAGCCGGCGGCGGCCCCGGGCGGCTGTTAAAGACCGGCAGCGCTCGGCACCTCTCAGGGTTCGGCACGACGGCACTTCAGGCTCGGTACGAGTGCTTGCGAACATCGAGCAAGGAACGGAACCGCGACGCGGTGCGAGGGGAGAAGCGGAAAACCAGAGCAGCCCCGGTGCGGGGTGTGACACTGCCCGGCCGCCTCCCCTCACCCCGGGCCCCGCACAGCCGGGCCGGCTCCTCCACGGGCACCGGCTCCGCCTCGGGCCTCCCTGCCTACTCCCGCACCGCGGGGACCCCCGGCCCGTGGGCTCCGACGGGGGAACGGGCTGCGCGCCCCATCGCGGCGCTTGAAGCCCGGGACGAGGGCACCTGCTGTCGCCGCAGCGCTTCCCCGCTCCGAGCGGCCACCCGCCGCCCCTGCCCGGGAGCGGGACGAGGCGGCCGGGGCTGAAAGGAAACTCAACAACAAGGGATTTAAGAACTTTTTCACCTCGTGTCATCTCTGTAAGGCAAATACGGGTAACAAATATTCCAAACATGGAACTATCATTACCAAGCTGGAGATGCTCCAGTTCTGAGACAGTCCTCGTTGGCTGAAACAAAGACAAACGCCGAAGGTTGCTAAGAGTTGGGGACTACACAGCTCTAGTTCCTAAAAGATGAGTTCAGTTGTCAACTCCAAGTGAAAATCCCAGAAAAGCAAGCTAGGAAGCATCCTTTGCGAGCTGTTCTTCAGGCAGCATATTACAGCCATGGCTGCATGCAGAGGAGACATCAGTCTCCTCTGTTCCTTGGTACAACTTCTCGAGATCAGACACAGAACTAGATGTAAGCACATTCCCTTTCAGAAAGAAAAAGGTAGAATTATATCAACTTTTGAGGTGGTAACATTCACCCACTTATCAATTTAAAGAAATACCCCAAAAATCAAACAACCCCCAGAAATCAATACCCAACACCCACCTACACACTCCAATGTCAAAAGCTGCAAAGACTTAGAAGTAAGAGCAATTGAAGCTTGGAGCACACTTCTCCAGCAGTAGTACTTGCCCAGAGGCAACCACAGCTCCTACTAACTCCTAAAAGCAACAGAGGAACACTCAGTATCTATTTGATAAAGTATTACCAGTGTATAAACACACTTCAATTTTTAGCTGCTGGCCAACTTATTTCTTAAGTTTACGATACACCTTGGATCAATTACCGGGCACAGAAACGCCAGTGAGAGGACAGCAAATTCCAGCAGTATTTTAGACCCCTGCAAGCAGAGGCTACAGTCCTCGCTGCTACCAGCCTTCTCAGGCTTGCAGTAAAAACATGACCTATTAGAATTTCTGAAATACCCTTCTGTACTAACTGGATCTCCTTTACCTGTAACAACCGCACCAGTTATGACAATGTCATTTTCTTCTCCATAACCCATCTACCACATCTGCATTCCAGCTTTATTGTTGTTCAGATTCCTTCTCCAAGCTCTATTTTGTGCTGGACCTACACAAATTCACCTTGGATCCATTATTTCTATCAACCACTCTTTCATTATACAGGGCAGAACAGGCAAGGTTGGAAGGAGGACTGGGGTACCATATTTGGTTTGCATGGCCAGATTTAGGTAGTAGGGACATTACAGGGGTGGTTTCTGTGAGAAAATGCCAGAAGTTTCCAATAGGTCTGACAGAGCCAATGCCAGCCGGCTCCAAGACAGGCCTGCCACTGGCCAAGGCCAAGCCTATCAGTGATGGTGGCAACACCTCTGGGATAATTATTTAGTAAGGGGAAAAAAACCTCTATGTAACAGCAATTGCAGCCAAAGAGAGAGTTAGACTATGTGAAAGGAATAGCTGTGCAGATACCCAGGTCAGTGAAAACCAAGGGGGAGGAGGTGCTCCAGCTGTCGGAGCAGAGATTCCTATGCAGACCATGGTGCAGACGATGGTGAGGCAGCTGTGCCCCTGTAGCCCACGAAGGTCCGTGGTGGAGCAGAGATACACCTGCAGCCCATGAAGGACACCACACCAGGGCAGGTGGATACTTGAAGAATGTTGTGACCCAATGGGAAGCCCACGCTGGAGCAGGCTCGTGGCAGGACTTGTGACCCTGTGGGAGATCCACACTGAAACAGTCTGTTCCTGAAGGATTGCACCCCATGTGAGGGAGCCAGGCTGGAGCAGTTTGTGAAGAACTGCAGCCTGTGAGAAGGACTCATGTTGAAGAAGTTCGTGGAGGATCGTCTCGTGAGAGGGTGTGCTGGTTCCTGACGCAGGCCTGGAGAGGCTGCCGGCCTCCCTTGCTGCAAGCACAGACTGGATCTAGAAAGCTGTGCCTTCAACAAGTACTATGTGCACACAGTTTCTCATCCAGTTAAGAAATCATGCCATACTGGTGCAATACAGGTGACAGCAGAGTAGCCAGAACACTGAAAGCCCAATTCTCTGCATCCCTTATGAAATCAAGCTGAGATTTTTCAATACAATAGTGAAAATAATGTAGCTAAACCTGTATTTCTACATTCGAATAAAGACTGTTTTCAGGAAAGCTGAAGGCATGGAAGGTTCATCTGAGAAAAATTAGTAAGCAAAACCCCTACTAAACTCTTATGTAGAATACATCTTCCCATATATATCACTGCCAGTAGCACAGCTTAAAAGAACTGAAAGTCCCTACCCAGAGGGATCCCTGTAAATCCCACTTCCAGGGACTACGGCTCTATATTATATGAAACCACCATTTGAATCAGGATAAAAACTTGAAGTAATTTAACTGCTATTAAATCTGTTAAGGATACACATCACATTACTAATTTATGTCAGTAATACCCCTTTTCACATCTCACTGCTTATCAATTCAGAGCCCCATTACCTGGAAATTCCTATTTCTAGAATAGGGAAATGTAAGTTTTCAAATATACACTTCCATCATGCCTCCAGAACAAGGAAACAACAGTACATGCCTTTAGAGGCAGAAGCCTGCAGTTATGATACCTGTTAGACCTTTATGGCTTCTTATTGGTACATAAAGATCCAAAGCAACATTCGTAGTACTTTACTATTAACACAGCAACTTTATTTGGGAAAGACAACCTGTAGCTTTCGCAGAACTGCTGGAACAGAGAAGGCAAATGTAAGCAAACACCTATTCACACTTATGAGCAAGTGACAGCTTTGGGGAACACCTGAAGTGGTCCAAAGATGAGAAGATGAAAAATAATAAACTGCACATTTTTAGTCTTGTCCTCAACAAAGCACTCGGATAAAATAAAAGAAGAAAAACCAAACACGTGCTTAAGTAAATGGAGAATGTGATTAAAAAAAAAATCACTCTCTCAATTTAAGAATTACACATACCCCAAACTACTCTTTATTACTTCCAATTGGTAGTCAACAGGAATAACTGGGCAATGCCTTTTGACAGGCTATGTACTCCACAAGTCAAATTTAAAGAACGGGGCAAATCCCAAAGCATAGGAAGAGAGACACAACACGCACAAATCGCAGAGTATCTTGGACAGGAAAATTAGGAAAAATAATTCTTTAGGTTCTTTCAGATCTTCACAGGATGACCCAAGGCCCTCATTTTACATAACAGTTTAAAGATTCAGAAAAGGCCATTGTATGAATAGTCATCCATATCAAGACAAGGTAGGTATCCAATGGTATTGCAAGTAGGAACCTCGCTGCATCTTTATCAACTAGGTATCCACAGGATATGGCCCCAAGTCCAATTCACTCAATCCTCCACGTCTCAATTTGCACTACTGTAAGAGGAGAACAATACCAGCAGGGCTGCACATCTTACCTGCTTAATACATGCAAAGCTCTTTAGCATTCTCCTCCAATCTGCTCATAGATGTGCAAATCATTGTATTCTTACTGTTCTGGGATAATGACTTCAATTTGATGACTTACAGAAGGAGGCCTCTCAGCAGGGGCATTTTCATCTGAAGGCTCCCTTAGTGCTGGTGGGGGTGAGAATTTTGACAGTGTAGCTCAGGGGCCAGATGTTGAAGGAATCTTTTTCTTTGCTCCCTGCCCTATCTCCACCATATTGTGATACCTTGTTAGAGAATTTGAAAGAGGCAGTGCAACAACATGAAAGTGAATAAAGGATCTTGAAACTCATTGTTTTAAGCCCGAGTTTGGAATCCAAGGAAGTAAATACAATTTTAATCTTTTTTTATTATATGCTAGGTCAAAATAATCTTTGCTCATTTAGCTCTTAGCATGTCCTCTTCATGCAACACAGTTCTTGACAGATCAATTAACAAATACAACTTAAAGTGGTTACTCCAAGACCCTACTTCTTGTGAGTGGTTTATGTAGTTTTGAACACTATTCTTGAACAGTGCACGATGCCAAGAATGCTGCTGGCACAAAGCCTATGTTTAACCCAAATCATGTTCACATGTGTTTGCGGTCATGGCTATAAGCATCTGAAACAGGTGATCCGTAAGGTAATTTAAAAGGACCATCTTCTTCCAAATGTGTTTTGGAGGTCTTCTCCTAGAGTTCAGTCAGACCTTTGACTCATTTCTGCAAATAATATTTTATTGTAACTCTCAAATTAGAAAAAAATTATAGGCAACTATCATGCATTATTTTTTCCCTCATAAGTGTTTTACACCAAAGGCATAATAATTTAGTTAAACACTGATAAAACTTTCCCAGAGTAGATTTTCTGTTCAATGGTAAGACCTCCAAGTTTAGCTTAAAAAGCCTCCATATGACCAGATCTTAACTTAAAATTCATGGAAAAAAATAGTTTAAATTTTTACTGTTTCAAATATCAAGATCTACCAGTGACAGGAAACACATCTCTTCAAATGGAAGCTTTGTTCAGTGTCCTTTGCACCGGCTTTGTTAATGCAAATTGTCACTGAAGTGGAGAAGTAAGGGCTAAGTAGAAGAATCTCTTCAAGTGCAGTATCACAGAAATCTTACTAGTGGTCGAAATAATTCCACTTAACTAATAAAAAAGTACATGTTGGAAACATAGTCTGAGCAACATGGCTACCTACTCTCCCTCCACTATCCACCCCCCCTAAAACCCCAACAACTTCATGCAACAAACACCCAAAAAACATTAGCTGTCAAAGTTCTAGTAACACCTGTGAGCCATCCCATCGCTGGGCAACTGCATTTGAACTGTATTTTGAGCTAATCAGAGAAAGAGTGTGCATATATAAAAGGTTCTTCCTTTCGCAATACGTGTCTTATTAGTTTAGGATTAATTCTAAGGTATTATGAAGAAATAGAGAACTATTTTTCAAACATTTCCTTTTTTATACTTCATTTGTTCAGGCTGATAGTATGCTCACTTCCACTTCTGCTGGCAGATGGTGGTGGTGAATACAGCTTATCCCTTCTAACCCAAAATGGGAAGCAGAACAGAAAAAAAATCCTAACTTATGCTATTTTTTCCTCTAGCCTCATCACTGTGTAGGATTTTCCTTGCATTGAAGGAGAAACCTGTGAGGAAAGGAGGTATAACAACTGCAGTAATAAGGAAACATACTAACACCCAATGCAGTAAAATAAAAAGCAGAAAACTGCAGTTACAGCAATTGGAATAGCACTCAAGTTTTTATCTTCTCCTTACTGGTCTCTGGAGGGAATACCAAAGATTAAGATTCCACAAAACATTTCTGAAAACTGAAAGACCTAAAGTGTAACACACCCATCCAGGTTTATGTTTTTTAGACTCCTTTTGTTTCATTTTGACAGAAGAAAGTCCCTTCCAAAATATTTTGCATTTTTAAAGATGTTTATTGAAGCCTGCAAAAACATAACTGATTTGAATTCACTTACACCAATTCCCCTTTTTCCAACATAGCTGTTTTGGTAGAGCGGATCAAAACCACTTATTAATGCTTCACTCTGGGATTACAAACACCTTTTTAAGTGGACAAAATATTAAGAAAAAATTTTTAGTGAAAGACCAGATCAAGAAAAAACATGCTGCTATGCCTTCTAAGTTGCCTGCATTCTTACAGCAAAGCACTGTTATTATCCTTTTAATAGATGTGATGAAACTCTTAATAGAAGTGAGTATCCCTAAAGAAACAGATGTCGGGTATAATATGAATATCATAGTTCAGCGGGAAATTACTTTTTAGGCAATGTGTAAAAAGATCTCCACAGTCCTCTTGATTGTGAAAAGAAAAAAAAAGTATATCTCTCTGCAAGAGAAAAGATCTTTATCAACATAACATTGAATATGATACTTAAAATATTTTAAACCCTTCCAACCCCCAAAACACATCTGCATTATAATTTTAAATACAAACATGTGATATAATCGGAATTATGTTCATCTCCAAACAGCTAAAAGTAAAAAAAATGAAACTAGTCATTAGTAAGCAATAATTACAACTTTAAGCCAAAAAAGAAAAGGAGCTTCGACAGGATTTTAGACCTACATTGTATACAAAAAAATTTCAAAATAAACCCATAAGATACTCTTAAGTAACAGTTTTAATTTTTAATAACTTTATTTCTAGATCAAAGTACATACTTGATACTACTACAGATATGATGAGAAACAGCACTAAACTTAAATTCAGGTTTTCTTTACCACTAATTTAATTATAAAGAAGAAAAAACCAAATCCAAGCAATGTTACCCCTCCCATCTTTACTAATCTTTTTTCCAAGGTGGCTGCTTTTTTTGGAAGTTTCACTTGGTTGGGTTCATTCTTCTGTTCATGCTGAGGCAGATGTTAAGTTCACATAAAAAGCACAACAAAAAAAGAGTTAGTGTGAAAGTTTATGAAGTATTTTATTAAGTGGGTTATAAAGTACCCAGTCCTAAGAATTCACACCCATCTAGGATTGATATTATTTCTTTCTGTCTCTGTCCTATTTCAACTGAAATAGATGAGTGTGTAAACCTTTATCTTACCTAATACTCAATCATTCTGTAATATATATTAGAAAAACAAACTGTTCATTTACAAACTTAATTACTCAGGAGTAAAACACGGCTAATAGATGCTACAAAAACCTAGTAACAAAACAACTGAACTCCAATAGTCAAATGTTTTAACCAGAACTTTTGCCATTTAATTACTAAAACAATTGTTTATTAAAAGAGCAAGTTAAATATGTAACACGTTAGCCTTTGTCGAAATTAAAGGGATCGTGGAAAGTACCTTACAAGTGCCTGCTCAAATACATGTTGAAGCTGAGTAGAGCCTTGTCATGATGGGCAGCAGGGTTAGGTTCTGATTTCCTACTTTACTTCATAATGCTTAGAAGGTCATCTTATTTACTGCACTTTCAAAAATTATATGCTACAGACATGTACTGCTGACAAAGTCTTGTAATGACTAAGCTTAGCAAACAGTACTGAAGACTTTAAGGGAATTTATATAAACATTTTATATAAGTGGTTTAACTGTTTCACTTAAATTTGCACTTTTCATAATAAACATTTGGGTGCTCTACATTCCAAAGTGCCCCATCATAAATTAAGTAGCACAAAAATGTTTTGTATTAAAGCCTTCATAACTGAAATTCATAAAACATAATAGGATTTTAAAAAACAAAAATTGCATTTTTTGAGCAATTAGAAGGCTGTTTCACTGGATACAAAGACACTATGCTTCACCTTGACAGCTATAAAACCTTAGGCACAGATAAAAGCAAAGTCAAGTGGCACCTAACTCAGATCCCTTCCAGCCCTTATAACTAGCCTGCACACACACAGGAGGCAAATATATACACAATTGATTATTGCATATGCAAAAAATGGAACAAATGGATAATAAGTGTTTTGCCACAATCTCTCCCTCTTAATATATTTGGTGTTAAGTGATTTATTAGGAGAAGGCTGTTATATTATATTAAATTTACTTAAACTACAGGAAATTGCATTAATAGCATTATACTCAAGGTCTGAGTTCCACATGGCTTCGTTCAGCAACAGATTCCTTTCTGACACTGATGCTCCATTTACTCTACCACAGCGGCTGTTCCTTTTACTAGCCTATTACTTAAAATGACCCCATCTGACAAGAGGGTGTCACTGTGTTGGTTTGAGAATGACTGATATGGTGCTAACATCTAGCCTTGACCTCTCCCACCCTCTTCTTTTGTCACTCTGCAGACTTATCTGGGATGCCTCCCATTCAATCCGTAAAACCTTAGTATCTTCCTTGTGAGTCAATAATTCCAAACAAAAGATTCCTTAATTAAAAAGAGTGTCACTATTCAGCGTAGCGTTTATGCCACAATGGTTGCCCAAGAGTGCAGGGATACATTCCACTATTCTTTCCTGAGGGAGAAAGAAAAAGGTAGATCGTGCCTTCCTTTGGAGGCTTTCCACATTGCTGTGGAATATTCCAGATTATTTCTCATTCTATCTGGGGAAAGGTGGATGCAGCCCAAGTTAAGGATAAAGAGCCTGTGGCAGACCAACATATGAAACATTTCCCTGATGGTGTCACATTTGAGGTTGCATCAGAAACCTGTACACAGTATTTAACAGCCTTACACACACTCACCTTCACTACCAGGTCCTCCAGTTTGGCAACTTCTTCTCCCAGCTTCCTAACACTGCAAACCAAATCTTTGCAGAGTTCAATGTAAGTTTCAGTCGGTGCCCACTGCAGTACCATCTGTTAACAGTTACAGATGGTAATTTGCCATAATTATATAATTTTAGATTATAGTTTAATATTCTTCAGTTAATGTATCATAAAAGATAGCGCCAGAAAAAGTTTATAACTGTATCTATGCTGGGTTTTAATTGTACAATTTATGCACAACATAACCTACTACTCTCTAGCAGCGTTTCTTGGAAACTTTTGTCACTTTAACTCTCCTATCAGCAGAAACACAAAGAAACAAATGTATCTCCTTTAACTGGGTGGCTTAACTCTTTGAAATAAATTATTTTTTTAAAGTGTCCTTTACAGAAAGAGCACTGGAGAGCTCTATATAGCTATATAATAACCAAGACAGTTGATAAGTGTTTATAGGTTTCAATTTAAAAGACAGAATAACAGATTCTAAATCAATCTTCTCTTCTTTGGTTTAATACCTTGTGCGAATTTTTGAGAAAATGCTTATTCATGGTCTGCACAGGAATGATCAACTTACTACACTCTTTATTCAGCTTCTGAAGAAACTTGTAGAATTCATCTTCACTACAAAAATAAAGCAATATTTTGTTATTCGTCAAAATGCTGCACCTTTTGCAAGCCAAATATTACCTATGCATTTCCAACACTGGCTAGTGAGTCAGAAAGGCAGTTTCATCACATACAAAAACCCCCAATGTCGTTTAAACAGAGTAGTTAAAGACTACATTTAATATCTTAGCAAGTTTTTTTTTTCCTTGTTTGTTCTGTTTCTCCCCTCTTCCCCCTTTTTTTTGGCAAGGACAACAAATTATTAAGTTACTTGGAATATTTAGCTAGTAAGACACACTAAAAGCTGAAAAAGTGTCACCCAAAAGCTTTTCAGAAACATTCTATTAACCTCCATTTCTAACTCTCATCAAGCCTGTATTATCAATTGCAACATTTCATTACCTGCTGTGTAATTTTGTAACTCATTATGCATAATAACTGCAACACTTTATTTTCCTGTGTGTGTGTGTGCACAAATCAAAGTCTTGCAACACCAAAAAGAGAGAATTTGTACTCAATTTTATTCTACATATCAATATTTCTGACCTGCAGCTTACATTTTTGAGGCAGATAGAGGAGGAAAAAAACCTGCTTTCTACTTTTAGAGCTAGGACTGAAATGAATAGGTTTAGAGTCATTTAGTCATTTAGTCTTCAGCACAGTGTAATAAGATAAGAATTCAATAATACTGGCTTGGCCCTTGGATCTGGAAACATATACCTCAAAGGCCTAAAATATCCAATGTTACCTATTTGGAAGAATAGGTATATTTATATATCTTTTTTTATACCTATATTTATATACCTATATACCAACACTTATAGTTGGTGCTCAAATACAAACAGGAAGACAACTCTGATCAAATTAATTTTCAAAGAGTGGAGAAAAGGGATTAATTTCAACATTAGGATTCTAGAGGTTCCATGTGACACTGACTCAACACTACTGGAACCGTCAGAGATTTTTAGTTGTAAGTCATGGTGCTGGCCAGAAATTTTTTGCTATTGACCAGGAAGAGGTAAAGAGGGCAAGGAAGATCATCCAATTGTTTTTACAGAGTGAGCCCTCAAACCCTGAAAAACTCTTGAGAAGTGCCTGTATCTCCAGTAGAAAAGTTTCCATTCGCTCTGCCATTTGGGTGAATAACAGGTAGAGCCAAAACAAGAGATAATTATTTATATATTCCTACTGCAGAACTTCCTCTTCTGCAGATCCATAGGATCTCAATGAACTAGTTCAGACCCCAACACTCCTCTATTCCCTAGGGCAATCTGCTATTAAACCTAAATGCAACATGCTTACACACCATCTTGCTTCTGAGGGCAAAAAGGTATCCATGAAATTTGCCAAACCAGTAAACTAAGCTACGTGTCAGTGCAGTGCAAGTATCTAAACGGAGATGGAATTTAGCCCATAGAGTGTCATAGAAGGCTTTCCTTCAACTTTGGCACAGGATCATTAGTGAGTAAAGTTTCAAACACTGCTCAGGACGTCTATGATTTGCAACAGTGCTGAACTGTTAAGACTTTAACATTTAAAACAGAAATATCTAGATGCATTAGTAGGTATGCTGGAGGTTTAAAACCAAGGATGTTCATGGTTTTCACGAAGATGGGGAAGTAAGAAAGCCCATTAGTACATCTTTACAAAATAAACTATTATTTGTTTCAGAACAATGTAACTGAACTGAGTATTTTGAGTAAAAACCCAAATGCTAAACATCTGGAGATAGTCTCAAAGTTTCTCTCACATTACTACAGTCAAGCCATAATTGCAAACATTTCCTTCTACTTAGAAAGATAACTTTTTAGCTGTCTGAGATCAGTTATGGCACCTTCTGTGTTTCATCATAAAGGAAATTATTTTTTGGAATTCTGGAAGGATTCTCAGCAAATATAAAGAGTGTCATGGGCTTGAATTAGGGAGGGGGAAAGAAAGAAATACATTTATTCTTTTCATACCACTTCACTATACCATAGGTCTTAACACTTTAACCCCCCCGGCCCATTTTCATATAATTTTATACCCATTGCAGTGATTTGTTCTTATATTTAGAAAAGTTTTCAAAAAATTATCACTTTTAAAAAGAATTAATGGCTGTCAAAACATCAGTGGCTAAACAGTACTAGACACTCTGTGAGTTTATAATCAATCAGTTCAACATTTTCTACTATGTTAGTTTTTCTATGACTTAATGACTGATTTTCCTTCTCACAGAATGACTTTGAACAAATGGGAAGTAAAATCTTTATATAATAGCATGTAAACATAGCCTATGATTTTAGTCTCAAGGTCAGATTCCTAAGATACTTGTCAAGCTATTTTCTAAAAAAACTATGCAGTCCTTGCCATAATTGAAATGCTGTCATATTTTGTGTACTTCCATCTTCAATCAATCAATTATTTTCTGGTTTAGAGAACTTCCTATGATCTTAACCCACACTGTACTAGGAATTACATATGTCACTGGTGTGTGAGACTGCACCAGATACCATTTGGGTATTTTATTGTATTTGGCTACACATGCAGTGAATGGATAATTTTCTGTATTTCTCCACTTGTTCCCTATGTTCAAATTTTTAAGCTGCTCTGTTTGAATGCGTATATTGAACACTATTACGGAACAATCTAAAAAATCCACACATTTTAACTTAAAAATGGATAAAGCTTAAACTGAGCAAAGTCCCCTTAAAAGTCTCTATTTTAATAGAAATGGCTCAGATGCTGTAAAGTTATTTATGGTGTATCAATATCACATTGATTTATTTAGTTAGTTTGTTAGTTAGTTCTTGCATGCTGGAACTTCAGTTCTTCAGTCTTACAGCACAAGCTTGCACCTGGATTCTCTTCTGAAAATACCCACTTGTTTTGATGGACAACCACAGAATCATAGAACGGTTTGAGTTGGAAGGCATCTTGGAGATCATCTCATTCCAATCCCTCTGCCATGCACAGGGACACCTTCTACTAGACCAGGTTGCTTGAAGCCCCAGCTAACGTGTCCCTGCAACACCCTACCAGGAATGGGGCATCCACAGCTTCTCTGGGCAACTTGTTCCAGTGTCTCACCAGCCTTATATCTAACCTAAACCTGCCCTCCATCAGTTCAAAGCCATTCCCCCTTGTCCTATCGCTACATGCCCTTATAAAAAGTCCTTCTCCACTGGTCTTGAAGGCTCCCTTTTTAGACCTCTCTAAGGTCTCCCTGGACCCTTCTCTTCTCCAGGCTGAACAATCCCAACTCTCTCAGGTAATGCACAGTTGCAGTGCGATTCAGCTGCCTCCAAAACATGGCGACATGTACAGACTGAATTTGAACCCAAGCACATTCTTTGGTTCAATGAACAACATAACTAACAGAGTCTAGCCTCATAGCACCTAAATAATACAACAGTGCTCCCCAGTGTTTCGGAGAGGGAAAGAGAGTAGCAGCACAACTGTCAGGTCACTAGTCAAGAGGGAGATAAACACACCTTAAAGAGGAACTCAACCTTTACTGTCTAATCCTATTTTCAGTAGCTATTGTTCCATAGTTCTGGGAAGTAAGAAGAGGAAAGATATGAGCACAGAATCTAAAATAAAGTCAAGGTGTGTCTTCTGGAAAAAAAAATATTTACACGTAAAGGGTAAGAGGTTTAAGAAATCCTAATACTCCTTTTGTACTTACTATATTCTTCATTTTTCTTTTTGTGCTGGATGTGGAGTGCTCTAGCAGTGCTTAGAGAACTGATTAAGCTTAATAATGTTGCTGAGCAATGTACCTCTCAGCTCAGGCCTGGCTTCCATGGTACTGCACAAGACTATGCTAAAAGTATGATGGGTATTGCAGAGGTGATGCTTAAAGACTATAATGGCAAAAAATATCAAGTTGAAATGGAAATTTGAAGGAGTAACACTTCCTTAAAAAAAGTTTCCTTATAAATGTACTCATACATATAATCTATGGTAAGGAAAAAAAACCCCAACTTCTGAAGTGCTTAATTTGTAAGATAAAAAAATGAGATATTTTAGAAGCCAGTTAAAACTGCTTCCAATGGAAGAGAAAAACAACAAGAAAGTCTTGAATCTATACGGAAATAACACGTATGATTTAAGATACACATGTACAACATTTAATTTATCAGTTCAAAATTAAAGCCCTATGCAGAAATTATATACATCTCTCCTTCCCACACATCTTTTTATTGTACCTTACAATCAGAAAAATTTGATTGCAAGACTAACAGAGCCTGCCTTGTCTATGCTTCCAACGTTCTTTATAAAAAACACACCTACCACCAGCTCTCTTAATCCACTAATTAGTATATTCTTATGAATGCTATGCATGGGATAAGGTGTGAGAGAATTTTACCTTTGAGCCACAGAAAATAATGCAGTCACCTTAAATAGTTAATATTTCACTTCCATTTCCTCAGATATACAGTTAATACCTCAATTCCAGCTTCAAAATTTCAGAGAAGTCTTCAATTCTTTTTTCATCCACTTGCAGCTCATTAATAGCACCTAGGAGTTTCTCTTGATCTCCAGGATTTGTAATGCCAATCTAAATTTAAAGAGTAGTTCCAAATACAATTTACTTTTAATACTTATTAGACATAACAGTACATTATCATTTATTACATGAGTTTCTAATTATTAAGAGCCAAAAGAAGTTGTTTTTAAGTTATTACAACCAATTACAATGTATGTAAGTGCCAAAGGAAAAAATAGAACCACAAAAAATACCTGATGCAGAACAGAATTACAAGAGCTGAGAAACTGCCAAACTGAAATTGCACAGGATACTCAGAAAATCTGCTTAGGGTTTACTAAGAAAAATTAATAGCAGCTTGTATAAGCACCCCTGTGTTGTTAGGATGCTAGGCTTATCTATTTCAGAATCATCAGAGTCATCTCAGACAGCAAAATAACAAATCATCATAATGGTGATACAGCATTAACTCAGAAAGAGAAGAAACTATCCAATCAGCATCAGTTTTACCGAAAGTGGTCTTTTTTAACTGAAGAAAATCATGATTTTCTTTAAAAAAAAAATACACTAGTAACTAAAATTCTCCAAGTAATGCCTGAGACAGAAAACACTGTCAGCTGTGCTATTCATCAAGTATCTCAAATTAAATTTTAAGTCATATTTAAATCCTAGGTTGAGAGTTTTCTTGCAGAACACTTAAGTAAATTTAAAAAATAGTCCTTTTGTTTAAAGGGAAATGCTTCTGTGGCACATTCAATACTTTTCCTTGCTCATCTGAAGGACTTCTGGTGTTAGCAGCCCTAAGATTCTCCTCCACAAAAGTGAAAAACCTCATAATGCCAGCTCCAGGTATGACTTTGTTCCTAACTTTCCAGCTGAGTGCCTGGATTCAGCGGGAGTAGACCACTCAGGAATGTGAGACTGCAAGAATCCCAGAGTCTCCAATGCTAGGACATACAGGACTCTCACTGATGGTCTGAGGTCCTGAAGCTCCCTTCTGCAGCCTCAGAAATCTATAAGATGTTAGTATTCAGAGTATCCCAGATTTCTGCAATTACTGCAGAAAGAATTTTGAATGAACAGCTGACAACACACATCAGATCAAAACTCTAAGAAAAAAGATAGTGCCTGGAGAAATGCTTGCTTTATTCTGAGACTATTGTTTGTGACATCCACTGTTCATCGTGACTGCATAAAACTGTCCTCCGGGTTCTCCACCAATCACAGGTAACCATGGGCTCACAAGTGTGTCTTTAAACATTTTAGAACCGTAAGTGTATAGACAGGTAAGCTCTTCAGTAAGGTAAAATCCCAACAAGATTTATTGGGAATTTAAGAACAGGTGTCAAGAACTTTTGAGTTTGCAATAGGTTACCATGGGTACCTGAACAAAATGCACTGAAGTCTTTTTAGCAAATATCGCTAGTAGCCTTAAAAGAGAAAGGTCTGGGTTTCCTAAAAATTATTTGCTTTACTTATGTCAAGCTGTAAGTTTGCTCAATCCATTAGCTCTCACGTTTGCCTTGTGGAGCCCTATCTGATATGAACCAGTATTTTCTTAATGCTTACAAAGCATTACAGCAGTTATCTTATCATGTATATGTAAGCTGATTTATAGAATGGTAGTTACTCTTAAGTAGTAAACTTAAAGCAGGAACTCTTATGAAGATTGGGTGTGCTTTTGACTCCACCTTCTCATTCCTGAAACCAGCAAATCAGGATGCAGCTTTCTGATCAGCATATCAGGAAGATATTGTACTTTGTTCTTCTGCAAATGGATCACTGACTGAGGGCCACCATGTCTTGAAAATACAGTTCAGGAAGTAAAGAATGTGATAAATGTCACCACAGATAAAGCCTTCCGCCACCACAGCGGTTCTGCATATCACGGTAAAAAGTGTGGAACTTAAGAGACAGGAAGTTGATAGACCAGTCCAAACTATTTCACAAAGCAGACATATTTTACCTTTCTAGACCATCTCTGCAGAACATGAGGGTGACACAGAACCTGACTGTTCATGTAATGATGAATGCATGGGACAATCACAGTATGACAAGTCCTTCTTCATGGATAAGAAAGTTTTTAAGTCAGTGTTGGTTCAATGATGCTCTGCAGTCCAAATTACACGAATATTATTGCGAAGTGGCCATATATTTAAGAATGTACAAGTGTTGTACAAGAACTTGCTTAGATGCACAGACTATGTGCACTCTTGATTTTAATTTTAGCCACATCAACTCAAAGAACATCTATTTTATTCTTTATTTAAATAGATAAAAAGCAACCCCTGAAAATCCAAGCCCCAAACTCACATTCCAGTATGAACAATACAAGAGGTGAATAACAGATTGCCTCAACACCTGAAAGATGATATACCACTCAGATAAAACCAGTGAAGCTACACATGAACTCTTACATCCTTGCCCCCTTGCCCGAGTGGCCACTAATTTTAATAACCTGATGCATTTCTGTCAAATATTAAATGCTTTATTGTAGGGACGGGGAGCAGAGGAGTTACAGTCCTGGAACTGTGATATGGAAGCACATAGACCAGGTAATTATCTAATATATATAGTTAAATTTCTGGATTATATTTTGAATTTTGATGTGTCAACTTTTCATTATACATTTCATTTATTCTCAAATCCACAACTGGGTGCGGACTTCTCTTATTATAAATTAAATAAAATGTGAGAAAGAAACCTTTTTAGTCCTAAATGCACCTAGGCGTAAAATCACTTCTGTTGCTATCTTACAAGAGATGCTTAAAAAAATAAATAAATTTAAGTGTCATGAGTAGTGCAGAATCAGACAAAACCCATCAAATGTTGAAGAGACACGTCCCAATATATTGAACAGATTTGTCTCAATATGGAACAGTTTATAAGCTTAAGGAATGCAAGAATTTCAGCTTGAAAGACTCATTGTTTAGGCTCTGTTGTAGAATACAGATAAAGACATTTACAGAGAAAATAGCCTTCTGATATTGTTTGATGGAGGAAAGTGTATCATGATAGTGACAGGATTTCTCCCCAGTTCTCTGGATACAAAGCAGCTTGGTTCAGAGGTATCCATCAGAGGTCATCATTAATCTTTGTAGTAATAAGATCCAGGCTATTTAAAATAGCTAGCTGTGAGCTGAAGGTCTGCCATCACAGTAAAAACTTTCAACTCTGCAATTACGAGGGAACAGATTAGATTTGTTCTATCAGCAGCGTGGGGAGAAACTGTTAGCAGAGCTCTAAAACTAGACTGCATCAAGAATTTAGGATAACTTATGAAGTGCTACTAAGCCAGGAGCATTACATAATTTTTTAACTTCTCAGTTGAAGACTCACTAATTAATTTATGTCCATGCACAAACCACGACTTATTTTCCAGGAACTGTTTTCTGCTGTTGCAGAGTTAAGAGGCAATATTTACAGGAATTGTTTTATCTTCCTGTGCAGAAGCAGCTGATCCAGGTGGCTATTTCAGTTTGTTCAAAACTTTCAGTTTGTGTTTAAAATAGGGAGCCTCAAACATGTTAAAACACTGAAAGAGAAGCTATCATTTTGAGTGAAATTACACATCTTTGGAGAAGGAACTGTAAGGCTTAGCCATTCACTAAACTCCACAACTCTATCCCCTTCCCCCAGTGTCCCCTGGACAAAAAAAAAGCAATGACTACAACACCCAAGGAGGTGATGAATATGAACATATGCTCAGTCAGATTTGCAGTTTAATGCAGTCATAAGTAACACAGCAGCTCACACAGAGATGAGAAGAAGCCACAAGTATCTCCTTTAAGAACAAAACCCCTGTCAATAGGGGCTTTAGGATTCATATAAATCCCACACCAGGATGCTGTCCAATGATCCTGAGGCTTCAGAAAAGCAGTAACATCAGAACACACTGACATGCCTTATAATGTTTAGAATCATAGAATCAACCAGGTTGGAAAAGACCTGAGATCATGAAGTCCAACCCCTGATCCAACACTGCCGTGGTTACTAGACCATGGCACTAAGTGCCACATCCAGTCTCATCTTAAAAACCTCCAGGGACGGTGAATCCACCACATCCCTGGGCAGCCCGCTCCAATGCCTGATTACTCTCTTTGTAAAGAATTTCTTCCTAATACCCAACCTAAACCTCCCCTGGGGCAGCTTAAGACCGTGTCCTCTTGTCCTACTGCTCGTTGCGAGAAGAGACCAACCCCCACGTGGCTACAACCTCCTTTCAGGGAGTTGTACAGAGTGATGAGGTCTCCCCTGAGCCTCCTCTTCTCCAGACTAAACAATCCCAGCTCCCTCAGCCTCTCCTCATACTACTTGTGCTCGAGTCCCTTCACCAGCCTTGTTGCTCTTCTCTGTATCTGCTCCAGCACCTCAATATCCTTCCTGAGCTGAGGGGCCCAGAACTGGACACAGTGGCCTCACCAGCAGGGGTGAGTACAGGGGAAGAATCACTTCCCTGGACCTGTTGGCCACACTGTTCCTGATAGAGGCCAGGATGCCATTGGCCTTCTTGGCCACCTGGGCACACTGATGGCTCATGTTCAGTTTCCTGTCAATCCAAACTCCCAGGTCCCTTTCTGCCTGGCTGCTCTCCAGACACCCTGTCCCCAGCCTGTAGCGCTGCATGGGGTTGTTGCAGCCAAAGTGCAGGACCCGGCACTTGGCCCTGTTGAACCTCATCCTGTTGGAATCAGACCATCTCTCCAGCTTGTTCAGGTCCCTCTGAAGAGCCCTCCTGCCTTCCAGCAGATCAACACTCCACCCCAACTTGATGTCATCTGCAAATTTGCTAATGGTGGACTCAATCCCCTCATCCAGATCATCAATAAAGATATTAAACAGAACTGGGCCCAACACTGATCCCTGGGGGACACCGCTAGTGACCAGCTGCCAACTGGATGCAGCACCGTTCACCACCACTCTCTGGGTCTGGCCCTCCAGTCAGTTCCTAACCCAGCAGTGTCCCTGTTCAAGCCGTGGGCTGCCAGCTATTCCAGGAGAATGCTATGGGAGATGGTGTCAAAGGCTTTGCTGAAGTCCAGATAGACCACATCCACAGCCTTCCCCTCATCCACCAGGTGGGTCACCTGATCATAAAAGGAGATCAGGTTGGTCAGACAGGACCTGCCCCTCCTAAACCCATACTGTCTGTGTCTGATCCCTTGTCCATCCTGTAGGTGTTGTGTGATTGCACTTAGGATGATCTGCTCCATAACCTTGCCAGGCACTGAGGTCAGGCTGACAGGCCTGTAGTTTCCTGGGTCCTTCTTGCAGCCCTTTTTGTGGATTGGTGTGACATTTGCCAACGTCCAGTCATCTGGGACCTCCCCCAGTGAGCCAGGACTGTTGGTAAATGATGGAAAGCAGCTTGGCAAGCTCTTCCGCCAGCTCCCTCATCACCCTTGGGCGGATCCCTTCTGGTCCCATAGACTTGTAGGGATCTAAGTGGCTCAGCAGGTTGCTAACTGTTTCCTCCTGGATTACAGGGGGGCTATTCAGCTTCTTAGCTCTGTCTACAAGCTCCAGAAGCCGGTTGTCCTCAGGACAACCTGTCTTACTGTTGAAAACTGAGGCAAAGAAGGTATTAAGTACCTCAGCCTTTTCCTCATCTTTGGTGACTATGTTCCCCCCATGTCCAACAAAGAATGTATGTTTTCCTTGCCCCTCCTTTTGCTATTGATGTATTCGTAGAAGTACTTCTTATTATCCCTAACAGAAGTGGTTAGATTGAGTTAAGGCATAGATGAACTCTTAAAAATCTCTTAATTGACAAAGCTCCCTATACATGCACCCCCTGACAATACAGAACTACTTGTGAGTTCTGTCAGAACAATTAAACTGTACTCAGTTACAAGACAAAACTTCAAACAAAACATCCTTGTTGATATCCACTCTGAAGGAATAAAACTCTGGTTCCACCTGCTAGAACACGTGCCTCCTTGGTACCAGGATAGGGAGAAAAAAAGCTGACATTAAGGACATGGCAGTACATCAGCAGCAGGGAGCAGTCTTGAAGCAGCTGTTTTCATGAGGCATCTCTGGTATCCCAGACCAGGCACAGAGTGCTCAAAAGAATTCTGAAGCCTGAAGTACTTACAGTGTTCCAAGGATACTCCTACAATCAGATTTTATTATAGCATCCTCCTGTAAGCACAGGAAGTCTTTTGTTTCCCACATGAAAAAATCCAGTAAAGACTAAGGAAAAGCAACCACCCTATCTCCACTGAAAACTGAAGTTTTGTAATATACATCACTTAGTCCTGGATAACAGCAAAAGACCTTCCCAGCTGCAGTAAACTGAAAGAAACAAAATCTCTTTTTTTTTTTGGTAAGGTTTTACAAACCCGATCGGGATATGAGATTCTACAAATCAAGAGACTCTAATGTCAGAGAGCTCTCATTTCTCCAACAAAAATTACCACCTCACAAAGGAGGACCACATTTAAAGTAGTAGTTTAGGATTATGTACTGCTAATCCAAGCACTGATTTCCCTTCAGGGAAATCATACTCAAATACTAAAAATGGTAACAACTAAACTTTAAACCAGAACTATTTCCTGCTTAACCCTGATCATTCACTGATCCGTTAGATTACACACTTCATAAAAAGTTTGTCTCTATTCACATTAAAATTCAAGAAGCTGCAGAAGATGCTGAAAGAATTTTTACAAGGTTAGACATTTATAAAGAGAAGATATTAAAAACATTATAAAAAGAAGAAAAAACTAAATTAAGTTTTAAAGTAGTAAACTGACCTGTATTAAGTCATCTTTTTGCATGATCAGAAGTTCTCTTAAAGCTATATCTTGTTCCTGTATAAAACAAAGGGGTTTCTACCATCAAAAAGAATTTCAGAAGAAATCAGTTTTCACTTGATTTGTTTTTCCTTGTTTTACTTCAGTTTTCAGGAACAAAAGGAATGAAAGAGTTGTTCAGTTTAGAAGCATCACATGTTGTGACGAATGCACATTATCAAGAAATTCAATCTAGTCCATTGTAGTTTAACTTACCATTTTATATATAAACTTCTGTTTAATAAATTTACTTGAATTAATATACTAATAGTGATATAACTTTTTATTATGCAGTAGTTGCATTTGGCTTTCATGGATTACTTGACACATAGCAGACACACAAGATTACCTTCAATAGTCCTCTAATGTGTTCTAGACCAAGACCATGTAAAAACACTTCCATGTCATCAAAGAGTGAATAGGAACTGTAAAGATAATAAATGAGACTGGAGTTAAAAACAGTGGAAATTAAAAAAAAAAAAAAAAGACATCCAGAACAAAATGCTATAGAAAAGCTCTTCAGATAAAGCACTGGGGAGCAACCTGAAGTTGCACACACCTGTTGATGACAGAAGCATCTCATAAACATCATGGGATGCAATTTATTTTATCAAAATTCTATAAATGTCTTTTCTGTCTAATAAGTTGAATTGAGCCTGAAGGGGATGATTTTCATAAATAAAGGTCATTTTAAGTCACAAAACACTCCAACTGAACCTTGAAGTTGGGTCACAAAAGCCTGAAAAATGTGGAAGTAGGGTTAAGGAAGGTAACTATGTATTCTTATCAGATAACATCCACATAAATTGGATTCAGTCCAAAACTCTTACCCTTTTGTTTCCAGTTAAGCCAAAAAAGGTTATGAAGAAAACACGAATGTCTGTAACTAAAGACAGTGGAAATTAGTCCCTCAACAAACTTGCTGTCAGAAGACTACTGTTCAGACTGAGGAGGTAGTAAACTTCGAAATGTAGGTTCAGAGTTTAACATTTCTAAACAAAGACACAATATCAATTTTGATTCCTTGCTCTACTAAGAGATTTAAAAGCATATGGGGGGAAATAAGTAAACAGCTTTCAACATTCAGATGAACTGTAGTGAAGAGAATCAAACCAAAAAATAAATACAAAATCCAGAAAGGACTACTGCTATTGCTACAGTGAATCCTTTGCCAAAATCCTGAGTTATGAGTTGCTCTGTCTTATTGTAGGCCCTGAAATGAAGGTCTGCCTCCTCTTCACCTCAAAAATTGAAAGAGCATCTTGAGTGTCATCACACAGCATGTACATGACAACCAGGAGATCAGGCTCAGAGAGCATGGGTTTAGGAAAGGTGGGTCCTGCTAGACCAACCTGATCTCCTTTTATGACCATCCATTTCAGGATGAGGGAAAGGCTGTGGATATTGTCTACCTGGACTTCAGTAAAGCCTCCAATACCATCTCCCACATAGTTCTCCTGGAGAAACTGCCTGCTCATGGCTTGGCCAGGTGCCCTCTTTGCTGCATTAAAAACTGGCTGAATGGTTGGGCCCAGAGTGGTGGTGAATGGAGTTACATCCAGCCGGTGGCTGGTCACTGGTGCTGTTCCCTAAGCCTCAGTATTGAGGCCAGTCCTCTTTAACTTCTTTATTGATGATTTGGACAATGGGATGAAGGGCACCCTCAGTAAGTTCACAGACGACACTAAGTTGAGTGTTGATCTGCTGGAGAGCCGGAAGGCTCTGCCAGAGGCATCTGGACAAGCTGGATCAATGGGCTGAGGCCAATTGTAGAAGTGCTGGGTCCTGCCCTTTGGTCACAACACCCCCATGCAGCGCTACAGGTTGAGAGAAGAGTGTTTGCAAAGAGTCCCAGCGGAAAAGAACTTCAGGGTGCTGGTCAAGAGAGGGCTAAACATGAGGCAGCAGTGTGACTGGGTGGTTAAGAAGGCCAATGGCATCCTGGCATATACCAGTGTGGCCAGCAGGACTAGGGAAGTGATTGTTCCTCTGATCTTGGCACCAGTGAGGCCACACCTTGAGTGTTGTGTCCAGTTCTGGGTCCCTCACTGCTAGAAAGACATTGAGGTGCTGGAGCATGTCCAGAGAAGGGTAACAAAGCTTGTGAAGGGTCTAGAGAGCAAGTCATGCAAGGAGCAGCTGAGGGAGCTGGAGTTGTTTTGTCTGGAGAAAAGGAGGCCCAGGGGAGACCTTATTGCTCTTTACAACTACCTGACAGGAGGTTGTGACCAGGTGGGGGTTGGCCTCTTCTACCAGGCAACTAGAGACAGGACAAGAGGAAATGGCCTCAAGCTGACACAAGGGAGGTTCAGATTGGACATTAGGAAGAACTTCTTTGCTGCAGGGGTGGTCAGGCATTGGAAGAGGCTGCCCAGGGATGTGGCAGAGTCACCATCCCTGGAAGTGTTCCAAGAAATGACTGGCTATGGCACTTAGTGCTACGGTTTAGTTGACATAGTGGTGTTTGATCAAGAGTTGGGACTTGATGGAGGTCTTTTCCAACATTAATGATTCTATGATTCTAACAACAGAACCCAGTGAGGCTTTGTCTGAACTGAGGCCCTGTCTGATGTGAACTGCTGCCCTGCAAACTGCCATCAACCTATCAGCCTAACGATACAAAACTACGTCATTCCGAACTCAGCACGACCTGGCTGAGCAGGGGCAATCTGACACATCAGAAGAGACTATGGGCTCCAGAAGCTGTCTTTCTAAGACCATGCAACTCAAGATGAAGGCAGGAAGTAGACGGTTTGTTGAGGACTTCTTAGCCAACATGTACTGGAAAAAAATTGTATCAGAGGTCTTTGAAGTTGCTGAAGCAGGGGCTGATTTCAGGCATAGGACACCTTCAAGCTTCAGTCACCAGCATGCTCTGCCAAAACTTCCAGAGCTTAACTGGTGTTCATACGTAATTTTGACTCATGTGCAGGAAAAAAAGAAAACGGCATAGCTCTGCCTGGTGACGTGAAGCTGAAAAGCGGCATTCAGTGAAAGCATCAAAATTTTAACATCAAATGAAGACAAGCACAGAACAAGACCATGCTCTTTGTTTATAATTCTTGAAAAATTAATAGTACATTAATATACTTACTATAGGCTCTTGGCAGTGCTCCAAAAAATACATAACATATATATATATAGGAACAACTTGATCATTGATACGAACAAATACAATCTCTTAGGAATGTTTACATGCTAAAATTACACTATAACTGTATTTACCCAACTCCGTGGTCAGGGACAGCTGTCAGAAATTTGCAGATAGCCTCTTGCTCAACCGTTTTATGGTATCTCCCTTGCAAGTGATTTGCAGCCAAAGAGAGCAAACTAAAAATCTGGAAGAGCCAAAATGAATTAATTGTTATTCAAACTCAAAATGCATAAAAAAATATATGGGAATAAGACTACGAAGAGTTCTATAACCAATTACTACCTACAGGGAACATGAAACATCTGCCACTTATTCTCTAAAGCATACATCTATAATGAGAAGTTAAGACTACACCCACAGAGTTTATCAAGAGCATTTCCAAATTAATCAAATTCCAACACATCAATGAATTGTCATAGAGCAAAACAGTGGATGTAACGTGGTCTAAAAAAGTCAGCATCCATCACTACAGAAGCAGCCAAACACCAACATACTAATTTTTGTGGTTTGTAGACACAAGAGTTCTATATACTCAAGGCAATAAGTTGTCTAAAGGGCACAGAACACACAACTATTTTCATGTTTCCATTTCCAGTGCACATATAGACCTAACATTGATCAATTTACACCTGACAATCTAAGTTAACTATATCTGACAGACAGGGATTCTTTCAACTGATTAAAGAAGCAGCCTTCTGCTAGACATCGCTATGCATCAGTGATGGATTCCAGAAACTGAACTGCCCCTGTGTGAGTTTTAAGATAGTCACTAGAAAAACAAGCAAAAACAAGCAGAAAAATGGCAAAACAAGTAGAACCTCAATAAACCTAAAGAAATGGTGAAACCACTTGCCTGAACTTCAGGTGACTAGCCAGTTTCATATACATATACATATACACATAGTGCAGTGGGTTGATCTTGGCTGATAAGTCCCTACTCAGTTCAGCAGTATGGGAGAGAATCACAAGGGTAAGAGTAAGAAAACTTTTCTTGGGCTGAGATAAATACAGTCTGAAAAGTAAAGGGGGAAAAAACCCAAAACCTAAGTGATGCAAAGGCAGCGACCACCTCCCACCAGCAGAGAAATGCCCAGCCAGTGTTCAATTTTATCACTGAGCATGTTATAGGGCACGGAGTATCCCTTGTGTCAGCTGGAGTTAGCAGTTCAAGGCTATGCCCACTCTCAACCTCTTGCTCAATCCCAGTCTACTTGCTGAAGATGGGGAGCAGTCTGAGAAACAGAAGGCCTTGATGCTGCACAAGCACCGCTCAGCAATAGCTAAGACACTGGTGTGTTACCAACGGTGGTTTGGTCAATCCTAAAGCACAGCACCATATAGGCTGTTGGGAAGAAAAATAACTCCATCCCAGTCAAATTCAGAGTAACAGAAATGAAAAATATTTCCCCTCCCAGAAACAGTTTCTGCAGACAGTCTGTATGACAGGCCTTTCAGTTGTCAACGGCCTGAAAAGCAGATCCTGAAGCTGGAAGAAGCTCATGACCATTAAATATCTCAATACCATCTGCAAGACTTTGCACCAACTGTTCAGGTCAAGAGGCAGGACCCACCTCTCAAGTGTGAGAAGCCTGTATTCCCCCCATGTCAGAGAAAGTCATGTTATAAGATTATATGGCCGTAACCTGCTGAACAAGTCATTTATCAAAGGCAGAAAGCTTTTGTAACCTCTTTCAGTAACCTGAGCTAACAGATCACTGAGCCTCAGACACAGATCTTGCTAGCTTCCACTGACAGCTTTGTGCATAGCTATCATTTTTGCTCCTGCCTAGCCTCGGAGTCTGGCAGAAAAAAAAGGTAAGAAAAAGAAGCTGTAAAGTGAATTACAATTTGTAAGAGTAAATTATACATTTTTGAAGAGCCACTGTGAAAAGTCACATCATTCGTAAGAGCAACTCAAGGCAAAACACACAGAAATATGGTCTCACTGATCCACCATGCATCATCTGGTAACAGCAGTAAACAGATTTATTTTAGGAGAAAAGTCAGTAGCTCTCTACACTGCTCTCCCCACGATCCAATGACCAAATTACATTATTTTACACCTTCCTCCCTCCCAAGAACAGATTTTGAAAATAGCCAGTACCAACTCTCCCTCTTTTTAGCTTTAGCCTTTTCACTTCCAAATTCAATCAGAAACTATACTCTGCAAATTAGTTTGATATCTGCATTCTCTCACATATTTTGGCAGACAGATAAAAAACAACACATTTTTATACTTCTCTTATCAACATTACTAACACGAATAATCCCTTGTTTTGTATTCTAAATCTAAAGTCAAGGATTCTGAAAGAATAAAGAAAAAAGAAAAAGCGTTTCCAAAACACTACTCTATAGCCTTTACAGTACTGTGAAAAGTTTTGATATAACAGAAAGTTGTCTATATAGATGTAACAGCACGAGTATTCAACTAGCTGCTATAATGTAATTATTAAAGTAACACTTCTATAGAAAATTATATAATTATTAACAGATTCTTGAGTCAAAACACAACATTTACATTTCTAAAAAAATGAAATTAAATACCTCTGTATGTTTATTGATTTTTGCTATCTCTGCTGCTGTTTTTTCATCCTTAGTCTGTAGATTTTTGTCAGCTCCTAGCTCAAGCAACTTCAAAATTACACTTCTATGTCCATGCTGTGCTGCCCATATTAATGCCTGCAAAGAGCAACTTTGTTTCACCAAATGTACATATGGAGCAAAAAATGACAAAGGTTCAATCAATAAAGCATGGCCCAGTCTGGAGACAAAGACAATTAATACAAAAGAATCTCAAAGTGGTGTTAAAGCAGAAAATTCCAATGAGTATTTCTGAGAAAGTTGTACCTAGAAACAAGCTAGCAGGTTCTTGCTTTTTAAAATTTTTATCATTAATTACAACACACAAAAGTAAATCACTTACTGAATATCCATTTTCATCTTGGGTGTTTATGTGTGATCCATGAGCAACAAGCAGAGCAACAACGCGAGCATAGCCTTTTCTAGCTGCATACATCAGTGCAGTCATTTTTTTCCTGAAAGAAAAGAGGCCAGCTGAAAAAAAAAGTTTTTCAAGATATCAAAATGCCACTGTATTATCAAGTAGAGCACCTCAGTTCTATAAAGATTTTCTGTTCTGCAGAGGAACTACACAGAGGATGAAAGACCAAGACACTACATTCATGCTTCAGCACAGGAGTCAACAGAACATACAGAGTCAGCAACTCATTTATGAACAATTAACAAGTTTTAAATATTTTAAGAGGTTGCATTTATTTTCTGATTAAAACAAAGTTAAGAGATCAATTGCCTCTCAACTTGTCAAAAAGGAAACTTAGAGGAAACTCAACATGTCTCTCCTAGGAGTTTAGAATATAGATATATCGTACTTCTGGGAGAAACAAGTAAAAAAATCTGTATCAATGTTTACCACCTGCAAATTCCATTAGCACATTAACACACAAATAACCTTAACATGTCCCAGCAATGAAACACTGCAGCTTGGTGACTAAACCATTTCTGTTCTGGTTCTGAACCACGCAAAACTAGTTTTTAAAAACCATCCTTCCTGCTGCTACCACAGACCCAGAAGCAGCAGGCCTCTCATTTAGCATATAGGTCAGCTCAATGAGAAGAGAATGAGCATAATTGCAGACCACAGGTTTCACCCTACTAAAAGCAGAGAAAAATCAGTAAATCATCTTTTTTCCCTTCAATTAACAAAACAGTGGAATACTTCCATTTCTCATTTTTAAAACACACAGCCTAAGTGACGGGTTCTACATACAGATTAATTTCGATCCTAAATTTGGAAAAAATATGCAGTTTCAAGGAGGGCAAGTGGTAAATCACAACTGAATATTTAAGAGGAAGAATATTAAAAAAAACCAAACTATGTTTATAAATCCAAAACTCTCTCTGGTAAAATCAGTGTAAGTGACAGAATCACAGGTCATACAGGTCTTACCACCACTGTGCAGAGGTGCAGTGCAATAGCACAGGCTACGCACATATTGTCAACATTCAGGACCCCCCCACCCTGAGTACACCCAAGAGGAGTCTTCAGAGAATTACATACAAAGACCATACTTAACTTTTCAAGTACTAAAACTAAATGCAACCAAAATATTTTTGTCCTTTATCTCATTTTTGTTTTCTGTTTCCAGAAGTTGCACCAGAGAAGGTTTGGTTTAGATATTAGGAAATTTTTTTTTCACTGGAAGATTGGTTAGGCATTGGAATACTTGCCCAGGGATGTGGTGGAGCCACCGTCTCTGGAAGTGACGGTGAAGACCCAATACACAGGCATCTAGATATGGCACTCGGGGATAGAGTTTAGGGGTGATTATGGTGGTGCCAGGTCGATGGTTGGACTAGATGATCTTGAAGGTCTCTTCCAGCCTTGATGATTCTGTGATTCTGTGAAGTGTGTCTGTTCACTCTTTCTCCCCTACATAGATTACTGTTTCTTACAATTGTTGAAGGAGTACTTAAACACCACCCTTCCCATTATTCTGGCTTTTTATATCCCAAAACTATGATGACAACAGCCTACTGATCTTGCGCTTCTAAAGATGCTTACAAGATGAAGCCATTGTGAGTCATCTGCATATTTTGAAAGAAAAAAATATTGCTCAAAAGCTTCTGTTCACAAGTATCTTTCCAGATGCCTGATATTTATTCTTTGGTGGAATAAGACTGCAGAATTAAAGGAAAAAAAAAATAAAGCAGTATTTGGAGGAGAAAGATGTGTGGGTTTTGGTTGCTACAAAGTAATGTGATTTAAACTAAAATATATTTTACTACTGTTGTTCAATTAAAATTTATTGTATCTTAAAAAGTGATAGTTTTTCATGAAAAACACTATTTATTGCTTGTAACGTACAGCTGCGTGTCAAAAACCTGCTTTCAAAAGATTATTCCATTTTGCTAGAATATACTTGAGTGTAGGATTGCTCCTCCCAGTTTTGCATTTCTTAATACTAAGTTCATCTACCATTAGAGGGATCCCAAAAAGCATGTCCTAAAGCAGTTGTCTTAAAACTGCTGCCTACTTCCAGAGAATATTGCTAGAACTAAGGCTTTGCACATATTTCTTTGGGTTTGATCATTCATACTATGATAATATTTTGTCTTATGTAAACACAGTTTGTGCGCATTTGAGACAGCCTTACAGTAAGGAAAAAGTCGATTACTCAGAGATAAGCAAAATGAAAGGTAACCAGACCTTCAAAACATACAGTTAACAAAACAGTAGAACTTTGGAATGAAGCAAAAAGATTTGCATCAGTCTAGAACTAATTCAATTTAGTTCATCAACCCTCCAAAAGCAGAAGTTTTAACTGAATATGAGGACACATTTTTACCATGGGGCACAGTCAATCAGTAGAACTGGTTGCTCAGAGAAGTTTTTTAGTCTCCATCTTTAGTGAGTTTCAAGACCAGATGGCAACCTAGCCCACTGTCTTAGCAGAGGTAGCTTTAACGGAGCAGTTGGACTGGAAACCTCTTTAAGTCCCTTCCGGCCTGAATCACCCTGTGATCCTATGAAGATTACTATAAAAATAGAGAAAGACTCTGTAATCTGCCTCTGCAACTTAATAACTAACTGATGAGATAGCTATACCTCACCATCTCTATATGTCTCTTGAGATATCTATATCTAGACATCTTCAGATATCTGTGGATTATGGCTAGGCTTCATGAACAAAGATTTGGGAAGGGCTCTACCCACATTTGCTACAAGCACGCTGTGGATACCTATATTGTAAAGAATGAGAAGTTGATTACAACCTAACAATTTGTAGCAAAAAACTTGTTTCCCTAATGCAGACACTCCCACACATTTCAGTAGTAGGTAGCCTTTGACAGACTTTCCATGCCATCACCTTTTAAGTATTTACATCTGACTGCAAAAAGTCCAACCATGCCTGATTTCATTTTAATTTCTCCTGTTCTCAACTTTTTTTTTTTTTTTAGAACTTTCACACTGCAACTACTTCATAATTACCTTCTGATTATTTCAAAGGGAAAATACTGAACAAAAGCCCTGAGGCTACAGAATAGTCTTTTCTCCAAAGAATATGATATGGTTACAGCTGCACAGTACTGCAGACGTGATATCCAAAATCAAGACAACAACTCAATGACATTAAAGCCACTAAAAAAATTTCTCCATTTCCAAGTAAAACCCAATAAATATAACATTTAAAAGGTCCACCAATACGAATACACAATTAGTACTGCAAGTATTCCATTTTAATGCTCAAGTTTTAACTTGAAAGGCTACAAGCTGTTTCATAATAGCAACACTCACAGTGCTGCACAAATTCACAACTCTACATGCAGAGGGGGTGCCGTGAGCCGCCCCCTGAAATCAGAGTCCATTTACACGTATGGCCACAGGAGGGAGATGAGAGCATTAGAGAAAACAAACCCTGTTTTCCTAATCCTGCAAAGAACCCCCCACAAGCACAACAGCAAGCTTTAACACGGCAAATCCACTGTTTCCTGCTTAAATTGAAAAGAAATTAAATGTATCGGTACATCTCAGTTAGTGCAATCTAAAAAAGTCATAGAGTGTAGTGATAACCATCCACACAGAAGATCTGAAGAATCCTTTCATCATTTTGAGGAACCACCATGTTTCACCAGTCTGGCTTGCAGATAACCTTCTTGTCCAAACACCTGTTAAGTACGGCACAATTTGCCACAGGACGTTTGCCCATATTGAACATGACAATGAAGTCATAGTCAGTAAAAAAATAAATACATAAAATCTTAAAAAGCATATGAACAATTTATTAATTAAGGATGATGCCTGTTCCAACTTCGCTTCCAGCTTTTCAGCACCTAAATAAAAAAAAAGGTCTCATGCAAATGAAGAGAGATTTTTGTTTGTTTATTTTTATCTTTAGAATAACAGAATATTCTGAGTTGGAAGAGATCCACGAGGATCATAGAATCCAACTCCTGTCCCTGACATCACAACCCCAAGAGTCACACCATGTGGCTGAGAGCATTGTCCAAGTGCTTCTTAAACTCTCAGGCTTGGGGCTGTGACCACTTCCCTGGGGATCCTGTTCCAGTGCCCAATCACTCTCTGGGTGAAGAATCTTTTCCTGATATACAACTTAAACGTCCTCTGACACAGCTTCATGGCGTTCTCTAACTCTCCCTGCTTTTATGTTAAGGCTGGAGAAAGACAAAATCAGAAGTTTTTGCAGTTTTTAGGGCCATCCAAAACTTTGCAAGTGACATGTACACAAAGATACAACCAGAAGTTCTTACAGGCTCACTTCACCCTGTCAAAAAAATGAGGCAAAACTTTATCACAAGAGAGCAAGCTGTGTGAACTGGCCTACCACCCTGGAGCTTCCTACCCTAGATAACTAGAAGCCATAATAAAACTGGTGATAAAGGTGACAGCAAGATATCTCACTGAAAAATGTCCTGAGTACCTGCTACTAAACTGAATCTGTGGTGCAGAATTCACTGCACTTGACAAATAAACATGCTTATGTTTGGGATCTTGCTCTAAACCAATACAAAGTTCATCTTCCTGGAAAATTTCATAAGAGGGAGGAGAAGAGATATCTCCCATTTATACACAGGTTTCCGTTTATTGGGGAGACATCTACAGAAAATTCAGTATTTCCAGTTGGTGATCCTGAAAAGTTGCAAGTCTCATAACTGGATATATGTTTATTAACTAGACCAGTGTATCAATAACACTAGAAAAAATACAGCAGGCAGAAAACAATTTAACCCTGACTTCAGTCTCAGTCTTTTCTTATGGAGATCCCAAAGCAAGGAAATGATGCCACAGGACTACTGAGCTGCAAACTGAACAGTGCTTCAGATAACCAGAAAGTGTCCTCAGAAGCTTTTGGAGTTTCACTACTCCAGAGCTGCATATTAAGCCTCAAACTGAGAAACAGTGGCAACAGTGTGTCCACAGCAACAGAAGAAAATCTACTTGCCCATTTTCTGGCTAACTAGGATTTAAGTGAGGAAGTGGGGAACTGCATACAACAAGTAGTATTGGAAGAAAATATTTCAGTGTATTGTGGGCTACAAGATACTTTTTCCAGGCACTGTCTGTGGGAGCAAGGTAGGAGAGTCCTCTACCTTCCTGAAGCAGACCTTTTTAGGAGAAAGGAACATACAGCTCTAGAAAAAAAATTGGGCTGGAAAAAGTGACAGCTTAGTTTCAGATTCCCTAGTTTTAGGCTTCATTTCAATTTGCCAGCTCTCGTACTTTTCTGCTTCTGAACTCTGTTTACATGATTGTTTCAAAATTAAAAAAGGTATTTGTGTAAGTTCTACAGCACACAGAGGTGGGAAGGTAGAGAGCTACAAAGTTTTCTTTATACGACTAGAAAAATATAAAGGATGTGATTATAAAAGGGATTAGTATAAAAATTAACAGTGGGGATGGCAGAACTCTATGCTGTGACATTCCCAGTTATCCTTCCTGTCCTCCTACATCCTTACTCCAGTCACATTTTTACAGGCAAGCTGGTTTAGCTAAAAACACATACACTTAAACATAAAACAGAAAAACATGAGTTAACCACATAATAAAAACTTCTCAGGCTGTTTTCAACTCTACTTTCAAAATGCAGATAAATTCTGTAGTCAAGAAATTCAGCACATACATGTAAAATCTACTACACCTTTCTAAGGAAAGCACAATTCTCTATCATGTAAAAACCCCAAACCAATCCTATGCAAATAGCACATCATCAGGGTAAGGTAGCAGCAATGATAGGAAGTTTAACATTACTTGGGATAGAATGCTAATGGATTTCAGTACAGGTTTTGTTTCTATTTACTCTAAAGCTGCCCAGGTGACATTTCAAGACGCCACAGTACACTGTCAGAATGCCTCTGCAAAATATAGCTTTTCATTTCCCTACTGTCCCCGAGTGCTTTATACCTCTGCTCAGAAACTGTAATCCAGAGTTGTAAGCCTGGCCATACAGTCATTAATAGCTGGGAAAAATACAATCACCTATTTTGGTGTCTAGACTCCTCTGATGAACAAGACACAATACTTCAAAAGTTACGTACTCTGCTAAACTCAGAACTCGCACATTTAGCACACTTTTGACTTCTTCCTAACTCGGAAGGAAGGAAGAGATGCATGGACATAGCCCAGATGAACACAGTACTTTGGTAAATGTAATTTTGCATCTGATTTCTTATATTTAGACCCTCTGTCCTGATGTTTGACCAACAAAGTAAAAGTCTTTCTATCCTGAGTTCACAATGTTAGAATAAAAAACTCTCTCAAAAGGCATGAACTATAATAGAGTATACCATTACAAGGTACTTTCTGCTCCGAGTTGGACCAAAGATTTTGACTCGATAGTATGAAATTCTCTCATTTTCTTGCCCCAGACATAGAATGCACCATAGTGCATTAACTTTTCCCAGGCTATTCACTTTTATTGAAATGTACTGTTTGTCTATCACACAATGATAGTGTCAACATCTTTCAAATTATGCGGCAGTGCAAATTTACTGTCTTATCAGTAGCAATATATATTTTGCTAAAATTAAGGTGTTACACAATTGCTTTTTCTGACTATGCAACCTGAAGACCTATCTTGTGAACTGAGTAATACTGCGATGAAAACTTCCCCCTCCATTACCATAATCTCAAGAGGGAAAAATAGACCAAAATTTTTAGAATCAAATCATTTTTGATACTCCCCAGAACTGCTCTGAGTGGAAGTACAAGTGAACATATATAGGCAACTTAATACTAGACCTAAGAAGTGATTAGACAAAAGGTTTAGTTCTTCTAATACTCACCCTAAAAAAAAGGGAAAAAAAATCACAAGACTTTCTGAAGACTTTCCTCTAAATGTACACAAAATTTGTAACCATTTTAGAGCAGAAGCACTGAAGACAGGCTTGTTCATTGTCTAGGACTCAATTTTGCCAGAAGCATTAAAGGTGAGGGGAAAAAATGGTTCACAAACAAAATCAAGCCTTCACATATCCCATACAGAACAAGAGACAAAGACTTTATGTCAAAACAAAGGAGGTTTCAGTCATTTAACTACTTGTACCTTCTACTAACAAACAGCTATTAGCATGAAACATCAACTCAAAACACCCTCCTTACAGGCAAAGCCATTACAATTCTTTAACTCTGTTTTATGTAAACAAAAACTTGGAGGATGCTGTCACTAAAATCCGTATTTACTAAACAATCTATGACATGTTATCCTAGCAGCAGTAATTTAGTTATCAGTTGGTCATGTATTTTCATTTTGCCTAAATCGAATTTCTAACTTAACATTAATAAAACCAGTGTAACTTTAAGAAAACACACAGGTTTAAAAAAGGTTTTAAAAAAAAAAGACTGCTTGAAGATTTCCAGTTTGTTTCACATTAGTCCTTCCCTGCTCCACACAGACTTAATAAATTAGACCAAAAAAAAAAAAGGAAGTTTCTGTGTATCACCTCTAGACAACATGAAATAGAAGAGCCTACTGGTTGCCCTGACAGTGCAACAATGAAAGAAAGAACATTAAACTCTGCCTTACATGAAATTTAAGTATTCTGCTTTGCATTCACACACATTCCAGTTGATGGTGGATAAAAGAAAAGTTTCCTAAATCCTTCTGGTTCTTAAGTACTGAGAAACCCAAATAATGTGAACCTTACTTCTTAACACCTGTGGCAGGCTGATCGCACAGGGAGTGCTCTCTTAATAATCTCAATTCACTGACAGTTGGCTCCTACAGAACACTCTGCTTGCTCTAACGAGATTGGTGAAATGGGACTGCAGTGCCACAGAGAGGGGCTGTTTGATCCCTTATCTGCACATAACCCAGTTTATTGTGTTTCATACCCCTTTCAGAAATGGAGGAAGAAACCCCCAAGAAGCAGCAGCTGCTGCCTGAGCAGACCTAATGATGGAGTGGTATGCACAGATGTCAAACACTGGAAAGGCATAAAGGCAGCACAAGGATTTCAGATGTCAAGGTCTGGACTTTTCAAGCTTCTACTTTTGTCTGGCACAAATATGACATTTCTAACTGTCACTTAATTTATCTTTTCATTTGAGAAAGGCTACTATTGCAAAAGTGAAAAAACCACAACTAAATACTATCTGATGGATGCATGAATAACTCACATTAGCGCAAGGTCTTGGGAAACAAAGAGAGAGTAAATAAATATTTGTATATAAAGATTAACAATGCAAAATATACTCTAAGTTTATAAATAAAGTTTTGCCCTTAAAATTCCTATGTCTTGTGTGAGCATCCAAACTTTCTTTCCCAGCAAAGTTTAGCCAAAGGCCTTTGCAAATGTAAACTTACAGCTTTGCACTTTGGCTTACATTTTCAACACCCAAGGCAAAGTTAATAAAGCAAAGACTTCTCCCATTTTTTAAAGCAGGATGTTTAATCCAACACCCAGCTATATGACAACAACAATATGTAATTACTTTCAGCCTCTCTGATAAGAATAAAAGAATGGCATTTAAACTTGGTACCAGACATCAGTGGCACATCAGCACAACTATGTTTCCTCCTTGTCTATCAGTGCTATGCTCACAGTGAGGTCCAGGGCCTTGTGTAATTGAATGTTACTATTGAAAACAAATGGGCCTTCAATTCTATTCTTTTTAGAGAGCTAACTCAGTCTGTATATCCCAGGTAATGTGATGAAAGAGTTGTGGTATAAAAAATTTCAGTCGAAAAAACAGTAGACCCAAACAGTATTTTCTTTTTTTTTTAACAGAGGCAGGAAAGTTTATCCTGGGCCAGCCCAGAATTTATTTATTTTTGATGTAAAATGAGCCATTGCATCAGACTGTGCAACTACAGACATCTCACAATGCACTGCTTCAAACTGCTGAGACACAAAGTTGTAACTGAAGAAAGAAGCTATTACTTGTTTTTACAAGGAGTTTAAATCTCCTTTTAATATGGATTATTCCAGATTGCAGTGGAATAAATGTATTTTATTTACAGAGTTTTCTTTTCCACAGAAGGTAGTCTGTTAAAGGAATATAGCTAGATATCCACAAAAAGCTCAAAAGAGGACATGAATTTAAATAAAGAATTAACTGATTTAACTTACATCCCTTTGAAGAAGAGACAATATGATTTGGGAAAGACAGAGACATATTTCTTGCCTTCAGTCAACTGAAGATTAAATTTAAATCTTGTTCAGCTAAAGAACTTACAATTTGATAAAATTGATCATAGTCTTTACTCAGATTAATGACTGTACTAGGAGATATAAGTATCAGGGCACTAATCTTTTCTTACACAGACAGCAGTGAAATTACAAAAAGTACATACACCTCATCTTAACCACCACCAACAGCTATGTCTATAAACACGTCTCTGTATAGTAATATTATATTTTATGCTGTATTCACAGACATGGGGTTTTTGGTACCTGCAAGAAAAGTTAGGGTCAGCATTCCTTGATAGAAGCAGTTCTACAGTCTTCAAGATGTTCTCCTCTGAAGCTTGTGCAGTACATGCTGCCATCAGCACAGTGTATTTATCTGTTTGGAAATTTACAATTAGAAAATTACATGTGTAAATATAAATACCATGCTAATCCAGAAGTTCCTTTAAAAGTTTTTATATTTGCTAGCGTTGTTAATCAGGTTCTGATACTCTAAGATATTTAGAAAAGGCTAAGAAACTTGGGTTCCTGTTTGTGAAAGTCACTAGAATTATCAGATAAAACAAAGGCACCTGAGATACTCAGAAAGATGAGAGTCAATCACAATAGTAAAGCATCTATTCCAAATACCCCACAACTATAGTAGGAGCTTAACTGTGGATGCTTGTTTTTCAAAACACATTCCACACCAGTCAATTCACTCCCTGTTCCTCCCCTCCAGTCTAAGGAAGAAACAGCTTACAGGAAGTTAACTGCAATGGATAAAAAAAGGTGCATAAAATGTATTATAAACACATAGCAACATCAATTTTGGGGAGAACTGAGGGCCGTACAGTTGAAGAAACAAAGCTTTATGACAGGTCTTAAGGACAAGGAATTAAATTTATTAGGTTACTATGGTGCAGTAGTGGCAGAAGGAGTATTAAAAGTATTGTTTTAGAGGTAGATTTTAAAAAACATCTACACAGTCCATAACTATCCCAGCTATTTGCTACTCCAGCTTTGAAGGCAGCTAGGTGTTACATTCACCTTTGCTCACAGATCAAAATTATACACCATTGCTGTCTGCCCACAGAACACAGGAGATCTTCTTTCCCATGGTTCACCTAGAGAGGTGTGGGTAGTGTAACACCTTGAGGACCCTAGCAAGTTAGTTGGCCCCAGTATTATTTAGAAGACTGCCATCTGAATAACTGCCCATTTTGCTTACTGCACAAACTTGTTCACAAGTTCAAACATGCCTTCAACAATTTGTTTTAACAAGTATATTAGCTGTACCTACTTCAGACCACATCATCAAGTGTTACAACATATTTTCTAATTTTCTTGTAGAAATTTTAAGGCTGTGTATAATTAACATTTTTATTCTTCAACTGAGGTCAGACTTCATTGTATTTAAACATGAAAAGTTTATGTACTTTACCCCCTCTGCTCTATTTCTCACCACTTCTTGCCCCTCACCTTCCCAACTTAGTTCTGCATTTAAATTCATTTGGTTTTTTAATATACCATCTTTTAATTCTCAATTACCTCACATAGAAATTATTACTTGATACAGTGACAAATTTTTACTCAAAATGTTTAACCTGGTTATCAACCAGAACCTGAACGGTAAGGTGTCAGGACTTCAAACAAAAGTAGTGATAAACACCATTAATCTGGGAATGATGTATGGAAGGAACCTGTAGTTATACTTGTTTTCAGTATTTCAGGTAGTGAGAAAGAGTGGGAAACTAATTTCTGTTTGCATACTTAAAGTTCACATATGTGAGCAAGAAAGGGAAATAACACCTTATAATTCTTAGGTTTCTCTTTTGCAGACAAAAACTGCTAAAAGACCGCAAAAAATTTAAGTTTATGTTCATCCTAGCTAAAAAAAACCAGAAAATCCAGTGAAATTATTCCTCAAGGATGCAACATCTTGAACCATCAAATAGTAAATGATATATTAGTTCCTTGTTCTTCACAACTACCAAAAAGGGTAAAATTAAGTAACCACTTACAAAGAATGACTGAAGAGCAACTAAAGGTGATTAACAGTATAGCAGTTATTAGGATTATAAGCATTAAAGGATAATTATTATAGGATCACTTATGTGATTGCCTGCTGATGTAAAAAATAGCAGCAAGATTGGTGAGATTTAGTACCATTTTAGGATGGCATAGCTTTACTGAACACATGTTCTGACCCAGATCAATGACTAACAAGACTGCTCCTGGCTGGACAGTACTCTGGTGCCCATATGCCCTAGTTACTGTTTCCCTACACAGTCTAACAGGGAAACAAGCTAAGAAACCTGATCCTAGCAAGGTGCCACTTTAAGCAAATACAGTCACACACTGAAAAAATGCCAAGCATTCGGTTATCTGGACACTCTAAACTATTGCCCATAGCAGTTTTTGCCCCATTTATAGCTCTCTACAGCCATAAACAAGGAACAGGTGAGCTGTAGGTATCCACAGCTGTAGGCAGCCACATGGAAGTTCCCTGAAGCTGGCTACAAGGACATTAGAAGAAGGCATGATTGCTTTTGGTGCAGGCAGTCTACTCTAATCAACTGCTAAGAACTTACAGAAAATTTTCAGAGCCAGATTTGTACCATCTGCATTTCAGTCTACTATTACTACAAATATTGGCAAGTTACTGGAAAATACGATCACTGCTTTTACATACGTGGCAGTATTGTGGGATAAATATTCCAACACAATGGAAGAGAAGGAAAATAACCATAGTTTAAGTAGGAAAAAGTTATTATTAAGCCATAAAAACTGACAGAGGAACTGATATTATTTAGAAGCCACACTGAATCCTTGTAGAAAAATGTGATCTAGTAAAACAATAAAGAACAGTTTTTACTTAATAATAAAACTGCGCTCTAATTTTAGAGAAGTCCACATTAGTTTCCCATGAACTGGAAAGCTATTCCTGTTGTTTGGGATGCTATCTGGTTTCTGCTTATATATACTTTGTAACCGGATCAAACAAAGGAAGTTTTACCTGTACAACTTCATACTAGAATTTTTGAACAAGTATTTCCAAATACTTTTTAAAAAAGCACTTGAGGTCTGGGAGGTGGGGGACAAAACAGGATGGAGAGAGAAAGAACAAGAAAACTCATCAACTGATTCCAGATCCAGTTACAAGAGCACAATTTTTATTTTAAAACTACTACTTTTACTTCAGAACTGTGAAAGGTAGGCTAGGTCCCAAATCCACTGTGAACTTTGATTTTTTTTCCCTATATATGTGAACAAGAGAATAAGGATAGGGACAATGTCTGGTGCTGAGCATTACTGGTCAGTATTTTTCATTCACATCTTACCTATTTCAAAACATGCGTTGGCACCTCTGTCCAGAAGAAGATGCACTACTGCAAAGTTGGCCACACTGGCAGCACACATCAGGGGAGTCCATCCAAACTGAAAGCTAGTTTCTATGCTGATGCCTGTCAAAAGTTGAGATACTAAAATCATAAAACTGCATCACAATAAACACGCTTTTTATAAACTTTACTCTTAATATGTATCATTACAAAGGTTACACCCTGTTTGCATTTCATCCTAGAGAAATCTCTTATAGCATTTTCTTTAATACATCTTTATTTAGAACTAGAAAACAACTTTTAAAACTGACATCAGTGAAGTTCAGTTCTCAATCCAAGGAGTTAACTATCACAGAAAGATTACATTAAAAAATCCCAAACATCTAGCTGCAAAAATAATTTCACATAAGTGCACAGAATCACTGTTTTCTCTACTTCTGTGCAATAGCTTTCTTCAATCAAAATGAAAAATTTTGACTCTTGTGAAGCCAAGAGGACTGCTGTGGAAGCAAATTGCTTGTCAGGCAATTAAGATCATATCATCCAGGGTTTCCTGCTTCACAGCTCCTTTTATTCTCTGTCCTGCAAGGCAGTTAGTTGGCAGATTTGTGTTCAGCATTAACAAAATATTATCTCAATAAAAAGAAGAAAGAGGAGACTATGCAAGATTCAATGACAATCACCAGACTTGTTTGTTACTCTTTGTAATAGCCAGAATGTTCCTGCCAGTCAGCCCAGCCCTTCCAAATTCACAAAGAACCAAGTATCAGACTGATAACTTTCACATAAAATACTCTATGCATTTTTGCAATAATAGAAATCATCTTCCCTTCAATCCTTCAACAAATATTACTTCCTCTAGAACAGTTTCCATCATCTGGTTCCATACTGGTTCAATGGTGACTATAGGTAATAAGAAATACTTCTTTAGAAGAGAGAATTCTGAAAAAAAAAACCCAAAACTGCCCTAAGAAATTTATGACAGTTTAGCTACATGCCTTCTTTTTCATGCAAAATGTGTATTTACTTTCCCTGCCTTGGTACAATGCCAAAGATGTGCTCAGTGTAGCAATATAAAGTCATTAAAGCTGAGAGACTAACAGGTCACTGCTTTTGGATTGATTCTTTAATTGTTTAAGATCACTGGAATTGTAGAAGCAATCAGTAAAGAGGCAGCAATCAATGAAAGCCACGTGTTGAAGCATTCTAACACCTGCAAGCCACAGAATTTACAATCAAATCTACTTGGTAATGTATACATAGCAGCTGCAGTCCTTAGTGCCACAGCACACTAGTTTCTCTGCAAGATACAAAACATTCCGTTGAAACCCACACACAAGTTCTATAAGGGGAGCCAGCAAGTGTCCCTTGGCAATCATATCTGAACCTCCTTGTAGACAAGTCACTTCAAGAATTTAGCAACTCTTATACAACTGTCCACTGAAATAACACCAGTAAGAAATACCAAAAAAGTGTCACCCGGTAAGCCTTAAGAAGTCTCTTTTCCTCGTAAGAAAAGCAGTCAGCAGTTTATGTAACATCTAGAGCTTTTTATTTTAATATTAATATGTATCTTTTTTATTTTAATACGTATCTGAACAATAGCAAGAAAGGATCTATTTGGCAGGCATAGAGAGACCTATCAAAATTCTTGAGAAGGTATTTTCCTCAATGCTTTCTTTACTCATATAGCAGACAGTATCTGCCATGATGGTGGCGCTCCTTTTAAGTTCTAGAATTAGAATGGTCTATTTGGCAATGGTATGTTGTTTGTCCTGCACGATCTCCTGCCATCTTTGTAGTGACTGACTTGAAGTATCACTCAGTGTGAAAGTCATAATGCAAACCAGCTGGAATTCCCAGAGGAAGACAAAGAATGGACAACAGAAACAGTAAGTCATGTTGCTTCTTGGATGCATAGTTATAGGAGTTGATGACTGAACCAGAAATGTCTCACCTTGGTGACTACTGAGACATGCTATTACTCTCATTACATGAGCTGCTGTTGAAGTAAGCAGCATTAGTTCAGCATTTAAAATGGCCCTTAAGAAAACCTATAAGGCAACAGTGAAGCCCAGAAAAAACACTTTTTAGCAAAAAATCAGGCCAGATTCAACAGCCAGAGAGAAACAAGTCTGCTACAGCTCCACAACCCAATGTTCAATCCATACCGATGCTGAGCAAGTATTCCCAGCCAGCACACACATACACCACTGGCCACAGTGATCAACACAGACAGCCAGAGCACTCTTGTGAACAGAGTGCCAATAGTCTTATTTTGCCATCTACCTCCTCCAGCTGCTGGCATCATAGACACATAGGCCTCTGACCTCCGGTCCAACTCCTGTGACTGGCACATCTTTCACTCACTCCTGTCTCTACAGGCACTTGGCCCACAGGCACAAGGGCCCTATGAGAGTCCTGGGAGTCCCTTCCTCAGAGTATGTAATTTGTGTTCCTGCCTGCCAGTAGGTTTGTCTGAAACTGTAAAGATGGACTTGTGATGGGCTATTGGCTTCCATGATGGGCCTGGGAGGGGCTGGGCCAGGCTATTATTTGGGCTCCCCCACCTGCCATTACCTCTCTGTGCTCCTTTGTAGGTATAAGCAGAGGAGATTTTCAGTCACATGACATCACAAATTATAAGTAGGAGAGAAACCAGACACGACATGCTTTCTTACAATCTGAGTTGCAGATAAATATCTTCCTTTTTAACCAGCAATGGGGAGAAACACGTTCTGGCCTCAGACAAGCTCTACAACAGCAGAAACTATGTGAGGCGTATGAATAATGGAGAAGCAAAAGAACAGTAAAGGGAGAACTGCATTCTTTTTGCGATACTACAGTTTCTCTGGTATCCCTTTCAGATACTCTGTTGGCTGTGGCTAATAACTATGGTAGAAAGGCTGTTTATATACAGAAAAATGCAACCTCAAATTCAAAAAGATTAGCAAGCCCAAAGAACTACGATCTGACTTTCCTACCTGACTCAGGGCTCAAAGTCCTAAACTGGCTGAAGAATTATTCTCACACACCCTGTCCCCTCCCACTCCCATTACTAGTATTTTTAATTCTCTGAACTGGCCCACAAAAGATGAAATGTGCTCCAGTACTCATGCTAAGATATAAGCGGAACAAACTGCTGAATTAAAACAGGAAAGAGATTTGACTGTACGTACATTTTTAATTGGCCTAAACTATCATGAGGTCATAACTTTGAATTCCATTTTAGGATATCGAACACATGAATTATATGCCATTAAGTATTTTAATCCCAAAGCAGACCAAAATGCTCAAGTCATCTTTGAACTCGCTATTCGTTTGCACTACTTTTTGCGACACCGTACTTCAGAAACTTGTTCTTAACAAGCTGCTGTTTTACAGGACTGAGGAAAGAAAACATTGTGCTTGTCCATCTCCTAAAGGAGCTCTGTAAACCTGCCTCAGCACCAAAGACCTTAAAGCAACATTTAAGCAAGCCAGAAGACGATATGTTCTCCCTTTACCTGAAAGAATGGCCCCAGTGGTTGCTAGGAAATCCACTTCCAACACAAACCCTCAGTTTGGTGGAGTGCTGGTAGTGAGTCTCCTACAAGCTCTACTGAACATACACTAAAGGCAACTCTGGAGGCAAAGATTTAATCAGACTGAGCACCAATCCTCTGAAGGACAATGTCACCTTTCTTTGGAAAGACCTCCCTGATAGAGAAGTATTGTGTTCTACTGCTTTCCAGGACAGTACTGGATGGCTCAAAATTTACTGTTCATCTCATTTTATATATTCTTTTGTGATACTGCCCTGTTCATTTCAGGAGTCAGGAAACTAGACTACATGAATCTTTGGCCTGACCTTATGCTCTTACAGATACCTATCTTCTAGCAGCACACAACTGTTCACTGTATATCAGGTATCAAAACAGAAAGTGAACTATTGATGTTTGACTGCAATACAAGCAATTGAAAATGGAGGGTTGTAACAAAACAACTAAGAAGTCTGACGCATAGACATCATCAAAAACTCTACCTATAAATAAGAACATATTTTCTCAAAACAAGACATGTATTTCACGCTCTCACTGCACCTATTCTGTTTCAGTCTGTGCGATAGTTTTACAAACCATTTTCCCATCGTGGTGAGAAACAGTAGTCTTCTAAAAGGACAAGTAATGTCATAGTTTTAAAACTCAGAAAAAAAACCATTGCTAACTAAGAAACTACTTTCTTTCAGTCATAAGACAGATTTTCCTCAAAGAACAAGCTCTTGGGTACTATATTCTCCTTGCTTGCTGAAGCAGAACTTGCTGACAATTATCACTAGGCAGGTCAACTCAGCTATGCAGTTCCTGCCCTGGATGCTTCAATAAATGATCCACTCCACCTAACACTGATTAACAAACACATTACAGACAAATACAGAGTAACTGAACAGGAAGAAAGGCTTTTGGTATTAAAACAAACTACTTTTTGGTGACAAATGCCACATAAAGCCTGTTAGACCTCTCAGAATCGCAAAATCTTTGTCCAGTTGATGTTGCCAAGACAGCAGTATCACAGAGGGCACATACCAGAAACTTAACCGTGCTGTGAAGGAGGCAAAAAAACCCAACAACCAACAAACAAAAAACAAAAGGAATTTCCAAACTGGGGAAGCATTAAGACAAAAAAAAAAAGCCAGCCTTCCCTTCTTACCCTGCCCCATACAACTTTCAACACCAGAGTAAGACCCCCTCAATTTAAACCACATCAAACAAAGAAAAATCTTATTTCATAGTTCACACATTATAGTTTTCTCAATTTTCAGGGCTCCTGACTGATGAAAGAAACATAAATTAGGAGGAATGTGCTGGAATACAGAATGCTGAGTCACTGAAAAAGTAATTGAATCTTTAAAATAAGAGTTTATACTCTTGGAAACATTCACATATTCCTATGTGCACTCAACATGTCATTTTGAAAGGAGAAACTTTAAAATTCTTGCTACGATCGATTAAAAATATTTAACTTTGTAACTGCCTTTCCTCACCTGAGTTTAAGAGTTCTTCAATTAAAGACACATCACCACGAAACAGAGCCTTCTTTAATGCCTCATTCTTATCCGCCTGCAACATTTGATCCAACTGCTAGATAAACAAGGAAAAGTTAAGTCAAAACCTGACTGTTTCAAGGCAAAAACAATATAGCTTCATTTCAGTATAAAAGCACTAATGATCTCTGAAAGTGCAGAGTGCAGGAGTGGAGAAGGAGCAAGAAGATAACTTTCCTTTTTCCATCTCTGTAGATCTGTTTGGGGTCTACTGCAAAGCCTAAGTTTTAAAATTAATTTTTCTGAAAGGTTCCATTCTCTGAAAATGGAACAATGGTCTCAACAGACCGGCTATCCTCCTATGCCACCCTCAGTTTTTCTTACCAGTATTAGATTTCAATTAAGATTTTTTTCATCTTATGGCACTGGAAAAAACTTAGCAATGTCTTTCTGTAACCTTTTTTTTTTGCACATTTCACACGTTGTGAAGTGTACCATTAAAAAAATATAACTATCAGACATGAAAGTTTGAGATTGGGTCAAGGGAGCTCAATGACTATCTGTCTGGTCTAACACAGCACAAGTCCACTGCTGTGAAGAGCTACCCTTCCTCCTAATCCTGTGGTGGCATTTGTGTTTCTGCATCATTAATGATTTGGCTGAAAAATGCCCTCACCAAAAGACTAGTTTATACATCAGACGGTTGCCCAATTCAAGTTCTTTTCAAAAGGATCACAGATTTTTCTCTATCAAAGCTGCAGATGCAGCTGGAGATTGATGCTGGCACTATCTAGATTTGTACAAAACACTTATATACACTAGTGATTGGATTATTCACTAGTGTCTTTATGGACATAAATGAGTATGAACAAAGTTGTTTTATCATAAATTTTTAACTCATAACATTATAACTCAGAGTTATACAATTCTCACAGCACATTGTAGTGCATCTTTCCAAAAACTTTTGTAAAGATGTTACCAAGTGTCTAGAAAACCAAAGGTGAGAAACAGCCAATAAAATAATAATTTAGCCCTATTTTCACTCTGCTCAGCCAACAATTTTCAAATAATGGACATCTCTGGATAGGAAGCTCTATTTAAAGATCAAGACCCCTAAACCACTGCTACAACCTTCAGCCTGAGTACTGCAAGAATTCAGTTACTTCTATTTTCCAATTCCTGCCATGAGCCAAGTCAACACCTAAAACCACTCACGGAATCTCCCTCCTCCTCACACTAACAGACGCCTCACACCTGTCAGATGCAATAAAACTACCGAAATCTCCAAGTTAGCAAGAAATAGTCTCACAGATTCTACATATAAAACAGCTTTACAGGACTCAGGTCACTTTTAAATTTACTCATGCTGAAACAGGGACTCGGGTGTGCTACTAAACGGGAGACAAGTCTTTTAAGTAAACATTAAGGTTTTATGTAATAAGACAAGCCCCTGAAATTCAGGTTTCATTTACTGGAGTGAGGGTACACCACCCTGGTGGGAAATGGCTTCCCTGGTGGGAAGAACCAGCCGCCCGCTCGTCTGGGACCCACCGCGCTCGGCTCCCCTCACCGCCAAGCCGAGGCCGCCCCCTAACCCGAGGCCGCCCGGCCGCAGCTGGCGGGCGCCAGGCGCAGGGAGACTCAGCCCCACCTGCGGCTCCTGCCGCACGATGCCAATGTCCCAGCCGCCATCGTCGCTGTCGCTATCGGTGCCCTCATCGCCGCCCGCCACGACACGGGACCCGCAGAGCAGCGCGGCCATGGCGGCCCTGCCCGACCTCGCCTCGGCGCCGCCGGGTAACGTGTTCGCGCCGGCCGCTTTCCCGCGCACCCGCGCCCCGCCCCGCCGGGCCCCGCCCCTCCGAGCGGCGCGCGGGGCCCACCCTCCAACGCGGCTGTGCCGGGGCGGCCGCGCCGGGACAGGGGAGGGGGGCTTGGGCCGTGCTGGGATTGCCGTGCCCGGGCCGGGCGGCTGTGCCGGGACAAGGGAAAGGGGTAGCTGGTCCGTGCTGGGGATTCCGTCACGGCGCCAGGTAAAAGAAACCAATACCAGTGATGGCTGTGACACGGCGCACTGGTGTGCGGCTGCTTTGTGAGTGTCGGGTGAGACAGCAGAGCAATGTGTGAGGTTACATCGCTAGATCTATGGTTGGTGTATGTGTGTGAATCCAGGGTAAAAGATACGGTTTCCTCTCTTTAATTGCTAGCGTCATTAGTAGGCTCTTCCAACGCCACGTCACCCGGCAGCACCAGTGACGTCACTTGTGTGTATGTGCACGCGGTGCCACATAGCCCGAGCCTGTGGTGAGGACACGTGTGTGGGAAGGTTGAACAGCAGCCATGCATAATGACCCAAACTTTCACCCTCCCGCCTGGATACGCGGGGCATTACTTTCAATTTCAAAACTGTGGTTAAATTTCTTTCTAATGACAGATAGTAATGTCTCTCATCCATCACAAAGTTCACGTAAAACTCTTTGAAGAACAAATGAGGAACAATATTCTGTGTTTCAACATTGCTCTTTGAGCTCATCTCAGACCTTGCCCCGGGCTGAAATGAGTTTACTCATCCACTGACACAAGAGAACAGAAGAGTACCGAATGATGAGTGTAGTCCTTGTGCCAATGACACTGTAAAAGTGTAATTTTGGGAGGTTCATTTTCAAAATTTCCCTCATCTTGATCAGAAGGTGACTGGGAAGCTTTTCTTCCTCTTCTTCTTCTTCTTCTTTTTTTTTTTTTTTTATTTCTTGATGCAATGTGTAAGGCAACTTCTACCATGTTAGGATTTACAGGTTAGCTAGAGCTATGCTTAGAACATACTAAGAACTATAAAAATTCAACTTATTAAAAAAGAAACCCACACAGTCTACATATTTCAATTGCACACACCTGACATTTTTAATAGCTGTTTTTTCTGGATTTTGTTTGCTTGTCTGTTAAATATGACAACCTGTTTGCATAAAAGTATTATGAAAGTCAGATTATTAACAATGAGGATTTGTGGTATAAGAGCTAGCTGAACATTTTAAATTAACTACCATGAAAGAAACTTCCAGTTCTGGAAACTTGATAGAAATGCAAACCCCTTCTTTTCACACTGCCTCCCTAGAGCAAAGGGTGCTAAAATTGAGTCAACTATAATACATACCTCTATGGAAAGGCTTAGCTTTATATGCTTATTTTGTCTTTACCTGCATATGCTAAATCTCTGGTTAAATTAGTTTGGTAATGAAGATATAATATTTACTGTGTGTAATAATTGAACACTTATGTAGCCATGTAAGTTGTTATAAAATTGTAACTTTCTTTCTCAGTTTTCAATGGTTTTGATTACTGGCCTGAATGCTTCTTATGTCACTTTCTACCAGCAGAGGAAAAGTAGAATTTACGGCATTTTTCTGTGGCTTCTTTATATCTATATTGAGTCTACCAGTCTTCAACATTATAGTTTCCATAACCAAGATCAAGCTGAGCTGTGTTACAGAACACAGACTTGCTAGTAGATTTTGTATCCCCATCTGCTGAACTCTAAACACGACTGAGTGTGGCTTTTTACAGTTGACCCTGTATGGCCCAAGAGGGTTGTTTCTAACTGGTGCTGGTACTATTTATAGATTCACTACTTTTAATACACTACTAATTGTTTAGTATTTGACAATTGTGATTTATTTGTCCTGGTTCAGGTTTCAAAGTTGGAGATGGCTGGTTAGTTGGTTCATTTGTTGTGGGTTTTTTTCCTTTTTTCTGCATTATATCCTGTACAATTTAAAATGTCACAACAGACACTTCAGATGCAATGCACTGCTGCTGCTTTGCTCAAAGGCCACCACTCTTTACGAAGGTCATCTTCAGTAACAGACCTAATAGTCCCTAGTATTAAAAAAAACAAAAACCTTTTCAAAAGCTCACAGTGCAGAATAACCTTGCAGCCGGTACCTGTTTCAAACGTGAACAAGCCAACTGTGCAGAAGCTGGTAGCAGGTGATCTCTCCTTGTGTGTTTGCCTGGAACTGTAAATCAAACATTATTGTTGATGTAGACTCTCCCACTTCTTTTTCACATTCTTCTTGCTCCAGCTCATTTGTGACCTTGAAGTCTATCTTCATTTTTCAGCTAGGCAGACTTACTTTCATTGACAGTATGGTAAGTACTGGCTGTCATCTATATTTGCCAAATATGATGGTGATGTTTTTACTTTGATAGGAACAGTTCCCACCTTCTTTTCCTTGTTGCTGTGCAGTACTCATTTGACATGCAGGAGGCAATTATAGAACAACTCAAGCTGGGAAAATATCTTAGAATAATTTTCTGTATCACAAGGGGCATCAGAAGAAGCATTAAAAGCCTACTCTAAAATAAGTACCTAATTGGTGTGTAGCCTCTCTCTGTGTACTTGCACGTCAGCCTGTACTAAACATACCTGTTAAAAATACAGTGTCTAGTAAGGACAGCAGTCACTGGATGCAGTAAATAACAGTATTTTAAGAACCTGTTTTTGCTCTGAATAATAGAACTTACTTAATATGCTTCCCATCTCTCTTTAGCCACCCTCCTTGCTGTCCATATTTGCATTTTTTTTTGTCCATCAACTGGCTTTTAATCTTTTCTCATTACTTCTGGTATTAAATAGATTTCATTAGTTGAATTTCTTATGTATTTTTATCTATACCTCATGTGTTGTCTCATCTGGGACAGATATATGCGTAGCTAAAAATTTTTATTCAAACATGGTTGCCAGAATATTGCAGAATATTTTAACTGGTTCAGTTTCATGTGTTTCAGACTAAAAGGCCGAATCAGCAAATATGTAAGGATGTTGATGTTGGTAAAGTTCTTGGGAGGAGAATGAGAATTGGTAAATGTTTAAAGAGAGTGACTCTGTAAACCTTAACTGCTCAGTATCGTTGTACTAAAAACACAGCAGCCAATATTTTAGAGGTTTAATGGCCATAATATTTTAGTGGAATTCTACATAGTTCTCTATTACAGTTTGAGTCTATGCCTTTTCACTATTCTTATGTAATTTTCATCTGTGGTAACATTGTTTAGAGTAAAAGCTCAATGATTCTTTATCTTAATGTTAGCTACATACTAGTTTGACAAAACTTAACTCCATTATGGAACAATGATAAAAGGTCTTGAACCCATTCCTTTCATGTTCTCCTATCTATTTGTGCAGAGGAGGAAAGAAGACCTTATGCAAATAATGAGTGCTCCAGAAATAAAGGACTTAGTAATTTTAAGAGATCCTCATTCCCAGAGAGGTTTAATAGCTCTGGATCTATTGAATTGACAAATGACCAGTAAATTTTCAGCTGGAAAACGTTGAAGTAACAGCTGTACCGGTTCCATAGTTAAGGATGGGACATCCAGGAATTTGCATAACTTACAAAAAGTCCCGTAAAGTAGCACAGGTGATTGCAATTTCACAGGTCAGATTCATGAAACAAATGGGAAACAATGTAGTTTATGCTGTCCTGGATGAATTTTCAGGTGACTTGTATATACCTGCAGCATCTCTTATTTGTAAGGTATTTCAAGTATAAAAATATGGACATTTATTCTCCAAAAGCTCTGAAGTGGTCTATGTTCTTTCTGTGATCTGTGAAATCAGCACTTGTGTTAAATCAATTTTAGTTTTACCATCCTGAAATTTTGTTATGAGCTGCTGTACTACAGCAAATGGAGTTGTTCATAGTTATTTCAATCATCATTCTAATGGACTTAGAATAGATGGAAAGCATTTAATTTCAGCTGTTTTGCCTATAATTCATTTTTTACAGCTGTGTTCCTCCTGTCCACTTTGCCAAATCTCTCTGGATAGTACATGATGTAAAACTTTCAATCTGCTGCCAAACACTTGAGTATAAATTGCATATGAACTGCTTTTCTGTTCATAAAATTTGTTTTCTGCTGGAGGAATTAAACCATTGTCAAAATGAGACTCCTTGAACTACTTAGTGGGCAATTTGTGGTCATGATGTAAATCTGAATCCTTTTCAGGAATTGCTAGGTGCTGGTGTCATGAAAATATTTCTTATTATCATAGTAATGTTAGAAAAATCTAGAACAGGAAGTATGGTGTTGAAGATATTTCCTTTTTTTTTTTTAGTGTCAGTAAGGCAAATTTGTAGCTTCTTTCCATATAGCCTGGAAGCTTTAGTCTGTGTAGCAAGTCCATGTCAGAATAATTCCTTATGTTACTAGATGTAACCTCTCAGTTAAAAATTCCTCATTCCTCTCCTATCTCTACTCTGTTATACACTATTTCACCCCCTTAATCTTGACTGGCAGTACTCCCACTTCGTTATCATGTTGCTAAATGATGAGTACCTTCTTGTTTCAGCCTAATCACTCTTTGGTGATACTCTAGCAGCCACTTCTAACAGTATTGCCTGTCTCTTAGAAATTCAAATGTTTGAGTTTACTAATGGCTGTTTATAGGATCAAGTGGTGTTTTGAGCTTTCTACACTGTTTACTTTTTATTCTGATATATCACTTTATCTTACCACTTTTGTCAAGATGGAAGATTATCCACATATTTCAGTATTTTCACATATATAATATTTTTATTACCTGCCACATTCTTATTTTGCTCTGACCAATTCAAAAGCAATATGATTTCTTGGAAAAGAGACTGAATCAAAAGCTGATTTTGCTTTATCATGTTTTGTGGTTCATGTTGGTTTTTTTCTTTTGTTAGCAAAGCATGCAATCTAATTGTCATTTCTGCATACTGAATGGCTTTGCTATCATAGGATAACCATAAGATGTTAAGTCTCTGGTTATCTC